CTGACCCTGACATGAATAATATTGGCTAACACAAATGTTAGAATTGAACCATGAGAAATACAAAGTTATCAACAGTTTTTATAATCAAAATTTAGCTATACAACATATTTGCAACACAAAGGCTGCCTTATAATTGTTTGGTGTCTCAGGAAAGTCAGCATGTTTCACCATTGCCAACAGACTTGTCTTTCTGCTGGACACAAGACAGATAAAACACAATATGAATATGCATCTAAGTAAATATGGAATTCTGGATATACGGAATTTGGCATGTTAATCCAAGTAACCCTTCAGACTGAGCATAACTTTTGCATGCTCCATGGCCTTCTCTGAAATAAAAATTCATCTTTCTCATAGGAGATTTCAATGGAAATGGATCCTCCTCAGTAAGAGAGCACAGAGTCCCAGAAAGAGAATGGTAACCTACTGAAAGACCACTTAACCTCCTTCCTCTCCTCTCCTCTCCTCTTTCGCATCAAACCATGACCAACTTACTGAATTTCTCCTACACAACTCTGGAAGCCAAAGCAGCTGTGGCACAGAAAGCCATTTAAAAAAAAGAAACCCAACTAAAAAAACACCACCAAAACCACCTTTGGTAACTGAAGCCAGAACAGAAAGAACAGGTATTTTGACAGAATGCCATCCCAGGCTGCTGTTGCACTCTCTTGAGTAACATGTTCTGGCCAAGAAGCACATCACCTGCCCCCTACTTCAGCTCCCAGCTACTACAAAAGGGGTTTCATTACTTGGAAATAACTTGCATACCTGTCTGAGCTGTCTTCCAGTTGACACAACTGGATAGGTGCAACCATCTTAACAGCATATTTATCTCTCTGAAGCTTTTAGAAAGGTGATCTAGCAATAGAGGTAACACACATATCTAGAAAATTTGTCTCTGAGGGAACACAGAACAATTATGCCTTCATGTTTAGAGGGATAAGAAATTACAACCGAACAAATTTCAAATCCTCCAGAAAATGGCCCTGCAGAAAATGCATCCTCTTCGAAGAAAGTTCTCCTCTACTTTATAGCCAAGTTTCTGCACTGCAAACATTAGTTAATTGGTAAGCCTGGAACCAAAATAAATCATTAATATGGAAAAGAATACTGAAGTGCGAAGAGCCACCATAAAGATCCCATTGTATTAGGCTGCAGATCGTGGTATTAACAGCTTGACCACAAATGCAAAGGTGGTGAGTCTTGAACTTTTTTTTTCCCTTCTTTTCTAAAATTCTCAATGTTTTGCAGCATGTATAAGGATTTCTTAAAATTACCTGTTTGGTTCCTATGTATTACAAGATCCTCAAAGATCTTCACAACGTATAAAGCAATATGTCAAGTGTTACTATAGCAAGACAAGAATAGATAAGTGAAGTCAAGGAACTAAATCCTGCTGCTCATGACACCACCACCACTGTAAGTCAAGAGCAGCTCCTTGAAAGCCATCTCTGACAGAAGTTACTGGGTCAGAAAAATTCAAACTTGATTCTCTTGCATGCCACTATCCATTTACTGCAGTTTGAAATCAGGCCTTACCAAGACAGCGAAAGGACAGCGAGCAGCAGCTTTTGGGTGCAGAGTATAAAGCAGTCTTTCTGCCTGTCTACTTAAGTTTATTCTTCCTATAACCTAAGAAATATTACAACCACCAATAAAAAAAAAACCTGTTCTGTATATAGTCTGAAACACCGTTCAGCATATATTGAAAGGACAGAAGAGAACCAAGTCCATTCTCTAAAAAAGACTATTTATATTATGTTTTCTTTAATTTTATAAAAAATCCCCAAGTGAACTAAATTGACACAAAGTGTTATAGGTTAAAAGAACCAACCAACTCCTCAAAAAAAACCCCTAAAACAACTAACAACAAACAAACAAACAAACTAATAATAAAAAACCAAACAAAACAAAACACAGCAAAAGGGAAAACAATAGCGATTTTGAACAACACAGGCCCTTTTGTTCACTGCATAATGACTGTGTAAGGCACAGCTGCATCAAGTATTCTTAAGGTTAACAGATACCAAAATACTGAATTCATACATTGGGTAAACACATACCACATGTTTATGAACATATGCACACACAGAAACATAGTAAAGGCAGTTAACAACATTTTGCAGACCTTCAAATTCTTTCTTTTTTTTTTTAATCTTTGGCTGATGATGGCGAGTTGCTCAGACTTTTTGTTATGTGTGGCTCAAATCACTTTGGGTATTTTGAAACAAGCTTTACAAGCTTTATCTGCTTAGCCTTTCTGGATAAAAACCCAGACCTATTAAAATCAAAGACCAACTCCTATTGACTTAAGTGGCTTAACACACTGTAAAATCCACAGCTCTAATTTTGCCCTCCTTCACACTAATGAAAATCCTAAATAATTGCTCTGAAGTCAGTTCACATTCATAGGATAAAGACAAAAAGAGCACAAGGGGGATTTCATTTTATAGCTTAGCTCCATAGTTGTGTGACTGATTAACTCCTGTGTCACAAAGAACACCAGTGCCTTTGATTTGTATGTTTATGTAAAGAACAATGGAAAATCTGGGATATTGAATTGACCCATGATAAAATGGTATCATGAAAGACTAACTTGGAAGGGTATTCATGTTTTAGAATATGTTATGAATCAAAGAGACTTCTGGAAAGAGTCCTAAGAAGAGAAAGAAAGAGAGGCTCAAATACTGTTCCAAATAGGAGATCTTAACCAAGAGATAAATTAACTCCCTGCTGTTGCAAGACATAAAAACTAATTAATGTCAACTATATAAAAAGACAATTATTCAAAGAAACCCAGAAAGCTCTGGCCAAGTATGCAATGGTCACTGGTGTGTGTATGGTCCATGTTTGCCTCTCTGTGGCAAACCTCCCAGGTGCTCTGCTACAGCTCCTGTTCTGGGAGAGTTCGTGGTCTCTTTATCTGCTGTTCTACAGCGTGGGCAGGGCTCTGGCACCACAGAATTAGTTATTAACCCTCCCATGCTCACCTGGGCCTATGCTGACTTGGAAAAAAGGCCTTCAATAATTTAACAGTTTGACTCTTTAGAACAATTAGCAAATCCACTAATTAGATGAATTTGTAATTCAGGATAGTATAAACCTGACATTCCTATACACAACTAAAGGAGCCTTCTGCTGCAAGCCAACCTTGGGTTTATACCACATTTTGCTTGTTGAGGGAGGGGGAGAGAAAAAAAAAACAACTTTCAAATTTCAGATGTTTTCATATCTAAGTTCTCATAGCAGGATTGTATTCAGGTTAGCATACAGCCTTGTTTTCCTTGGACCAAATGCAATAGCTTTCCTGAACTAGTGTTAATTCTGATAAAGAGTGATGAAAATATAAAGCAATAATACAAGATTGTAGCCTTAGTTGCGTACTAGCTAATTTTTAGATAGAATTAGGATAGGGCCTTGCTTGCTCACGCTAACTCACAGACAGGATATAGTTAACTTTATAACAAAGACTTTAGCAGGAACAGAAAACCTTAGAGTTTAGATAAGAGGCTTTGAAGCTCATGAGAAAGAGACCTTGAAAGTTGATGAAGAGAAGCTCCTGAAGAAAACACCAGTTTTGAGTTAATTGGACAGTGCCAACTCAGCAGTTCTTAGCAAAGGTAGAAAGTTCAAGCCGAGGATGACTTCTTACTTCATCCAAAAGACCCCCAAAGACCCTCGAAAGAAAACCCCAAGGGGCGTTCCAAGGCGGAGTTATAGGAGTGGTGCATGTTAATGATTCCCCTCCCACTTTTCTGGAATTTGCTGACACAGCTAATGCATATGTAACACAACTAATGTATATGTAATACTACTAATACATATGTAACATTATACTGCATAAAAAGAGCTGAACAAAGGCAATGGGTGTGCGCGATTGGAGGAATTATCGCCCATGCACCCGGCGCCGTGAATAAACATACCTGCTTCAATACTCTTTGCGAGTTTTGGGATTTGTTTCCACAAGTCAATTCAGACAACTAATGTGGTCTTAAAAGGACTTCTAATTTTTTCCTCATGTTTACATTTTAGAAAATGAAATCTTTTAAGAATTTCTCACTAAAACACTGATAATAATATTAAATGTAAGCTATAAAAAAGCCCCTTTTGCATTTTCATATTTCCAGGCATATTTTTTCTCCTAAAAACGTATTAAAAACGTCATACACATCTGTATGAGCAACAACCCAAACCATACGTTTGTTAAGCTTCAGTATAATGTCATCAAACCGTAGTTTACAAAAAGGAAAAGAAGTAATAATAATAAAAAAAAAGTAAAAATAATCACCCCCTGGATTCTGATACCCCGCCAGGGTTTAACATTTTAATTCTTCCAACACACACAGCCCAAGTGCTGGTACAACCACAAGGCACAGGCCCTGTGCCTCTCACGAGCCGAGATTCCCACACAGGCTCTCAGCAGCAACAGGTGCAGTAAGATTAACCCTGGCTTGAAAGTCTGCACTAAAGAAAGGTCTGCTCCCAAACCTCGTAAGAAAACACACCCAAGACACCAAACCACGGCACAACGCCCCGGGGCAGGCGGGACGGGACGGGACGGGATGGGAGGGCACCGGTGCCCCAGCACGCCTTGCTGGTCCCATTCAGCAGGAGCACGAAGCTTCACTGGGCAAAAAAGGGGCTTTGGGAGCAGCACCGAGCCTGCCCTGCTCGGCACGGGCAGCTCGGCAGGAGGCTCAGCCCGGGCTGCCCCGAGACGAGGCCGGCTGCGGGCCAAGGGTAGCGCCGAACCTGCCGGGCCGGCCGGGCCAGCCGGGCCCCAGCAGTGACCCCCGCCCGCTCACAACTCGCCTGGCAGGGAGGCGGGTTCGGCCGGGCCCGCCGCCACTTACCGAGCCCCAGCACCGGGATGCTGCGGCCGCTGGCGAGCGGCACCGCGGGGACCCCGCCCGGCCCGGGCCCGCCCGCCGCCGCCATGGCCCGGGACTACAGCTCCCGGCGGCCCCCGCGCCGCGCCGGGACAGCCGGGAGCGCGGAGGTGGGAGCGGGGAGCCGGCATTCCTGGAGGTGGGAGCGGGGCCCCGGCTGATCCCTGTTCCCTTTGCCTCCCTTGGCAGGTGGTGGCTGTGCCGGGCCCCCCAACATGCTGTACCTGGTGGGGCTGGGCCTGGGCGATGCCAAGGACATCACGGTGAAGGGGCTGGAGGCGGTGAGGCGGTGCCGCAGGGTGTACCTGGAGGCCTACACGTCCGTGCTCACGGTGGGCAAGGAGGCGCTGGTAGGTCCGGCCACGGGGCCCGAGGCCTCTCGGACCGCGGGATGAGGCGGGCGCGGGGGGCTCAGCGAGGAGAGCTGGTGGTGCCCGCTCTCGGGAGGAGGATGTGCGGGACCCTCGCACACTGCCTTTTGTAGGAGATGTCGCTTTGCTGCCTTGCGAGAAGACTGCAGCGAAAATAAAATGTTCCTCCTTTCAGCTCTTCGTACTGGTTTTCATCTCAGATTCTCCCAATGCGTGCAGATCGTGAAACGCTGGAGAACGCGGTTAGAAAAATGTCTGATCTGTTTAAAAGCAAACAAAAAAGCCCCAAAGACATACCAGAATAATGCATGTTTTGAAGCCGTGGGCCTCTGTATCAGCCTGAGGTGTCCTGGCATGCCTGCTGGGAATAACAATTTGACCGTCTCACGTGTCCATGTTTTCGCGTGGGCCAAGCTGTCTCACCACGCTGAGACTCCCAGAACAGGCCCAGTTCAGTCAGAGATGAACAATATGGAGATAAAGACACCTTATGGAAGACAACGATAGTCAAATGTACAAATTGTTACTCTGATGGGTTCATAGATGGTCATAGAAAGATAAAGTTTAATGTCAAAATAATACCATCAAAAGACCATACCTGCCCACAGAACAGGGATCTCTCCTCCCAGTAAGCTGTGCAGCGCTGTACAGAGATGCTCTCTGGGTCTTGGGTGCTGTAGAGCCATAATGTACCTGTATGCATACCTGTAAATACACAGGGCATGTGAGACTTTTAGCTTGTACTCAGCATTACGTGGTTTCTGGATACAAGGTAGGCTAGAATATTTGAGGCCATCTCTGGTTTACCTGCTGTATTTTGGAATTAAGATATGCTATGTGTTTTTATGTTTCTTTTCAGTACACTGAAGCAGTCTAAATTGTAGTCAATCCATTAAAACAAAATGTTCTTTTTTGTTGCTGTTTGATAGTTGGAAAATTGCTAAACGGAAAGGATTACTTGGATATTTTTACTTCACAAAATTTGCATTTGCTATCAAAAAAAACCCCAATTCCTAGCCATCTGAAAATAAAACATTGAATAATAGAAAAATGCTGAATATTTTGGTGTGGTTATTTTGTTGGTTTGTGGGGGCTTTTGTTATGTTTTTTTATTCTTTTAAGTCTCTTGCAAACCTTGAAGTTCCAAAGATGAGATAACTGGAAAAAGTGATCAATAAAAACAAAGTAAAAGATGTCTTACCTGAAACCACCTTGTTGGCCTAAAACATGTATTTAAAGCTATTTGATGCTAGACCATCTAAATTGGCCCTTAGTTTGGTGAAAGAACAGTTTGGACCCAGTGGCCTCCCAGTGAGTCTCCATTGTCAGGAGGGTGCTTTTTATACATTCTCTAATTAGCATGCTTTGATTAGCATTGTGGAGTAGTCTCAAAGCATGCAAATAGATTCCCTTGGATGGAAACAAACAAAGGTGTGCTCCTGGGACTGCACCCAATAGTTCTGTGGTGTGCATTTGTTTACAGCATTGGACTGAAGTCAGCCTGGTGCAGTGAAGGATAAGCCCACCCAAATGGATGCAGTGTTGTTACCGAGGGCTTTGCTTTCTAAAGTCCCATACCTAGTACTCTAGCTATGGGATGGATTTTTTTTGTGGAAGCACTGCTCCCCTTCTCTACAAGTATGATGGTTCTCTCATCAATTCACTGTCCTTTGGGGGCAAAGTCACAGAAGTCAGAAAAAAATCTGGGCCATAACTGATTTAACAGTTTTATCAATTCTGCATTTATATTGGTTCATATTCGTAATTCCACCCAAATTTTCTGTATACTACATAGAACAAAAATACCTTTTCTGATCTTTGCCCTGGAAAATATATCTTAAAATGTAAAGAGCATATGAAATGCATGGTGACACGTGACTTAAGAGACAGATGTGTTCAGTACGGTTAAACATGTTCCAGAACTAACTGAAGTTTCATAACATATGTGAAGTTGATTTGGGAAATAAAGGCATTTAAAACATACAAAGAGACACAATGATTACTGAGCTGCTGAAGAAAAGTGAAAGAAATGATCAAATGCATGTTCACATGTGTACATGGTAAAGTATTTCTTCAAGAGAACTCTGGAGGCGAAGGATTAATATGAAATCATTCCTTAGATGTGGTTTGTTTAAATGTACTAATAATAATAATGGCCAGTCTTCGCGAGCGAAGATCCGGGGAAGGTCTTTACACCTTCCAGCCTGCGCATTGGATTTTTTAGGTGAGACACAGTGTGCGCGGAACTGAGCCCACCCTTTAATCCTAAGGTTCATCTGCCGGGGCCAAGAGAGCTTGGACGGTGGCAGTGAGGTCCTTAGGACGTAGGTGGGTTGCCTTTAAGGGCTAACGAGCCCCACCTGCCCGGGAGTGGCCCTGACCGGGAATCGAACCCGGGTCTCCGCGGTGATAGCGCGGCGCCTTTACCCCCTAGACCACCAGGGGCTCCAAATGTACTAAGGAAAAATCAAAAAAAAAAAAAAAAAAAAAAAAAAAAAAAAAAAAAAAAAAAAAAAAAAAACGGGTTGTGGTGTAACTAGTGTGGTGTTTGTATCTGTTTTGACGTCAATGTTGTAACTAAGCCAAGCAGTCAGGCCGTGAGGGGGATGCCTGACAGTACCAGGGCCGGATGAATGAACTGTACCAGCAGCCCAGCAGGTACCTTTGGTGTGCAGGTGTGAGCAGGTGTGACTGAGCTACCTGTGGGGCAGCTTCTCAGCTGACACAGAAGGCACAGAAAAAAGAAGTCAGTATCAGAATAAAGTGCTTGACTGGTTTTTATCAGCTCAGGAGCTGCTTGATGGGAAGCTCAGGCATTCTTCCAAGTGGGGGTGAGGTTCTCCAAGACCTGGGGCAGACTGCTGGGGAGAATATTAAAGTTAGCTATTCCACTGTCCGTTGTCTGTGTTCCTGAGTGAGCACCCAGAGAGATACAAAACCACTCCTAACTGTCTTATTTTGATGCTTAATATTAATTTCAATTTCTAGGAAGAGTTTTATGGAAAAGAGTTGATTTTGGCTGACCGAGAAATGGTGGAACAAGAAGCAGATAGCCTCTTAAAAGAAGCTGATGTTTGTGATGTCGCATTTCTTGTAGTTGGGGATCCTTTTGGGTAAGACAAAGCAACATTTTGATTATTGCTCTAGCTTGATAACTCTTTTTTTCAGTAGGAAGAAGCCAACTCCGTAACTGTAATTCTTTATGAAGAAGCTGATTTTCAGACCAGAAGCACTGATTTTATGTCTGCATATCTTTTATTGTATTAAAATATACAAGCAATTTTCTACACTTTTATCTTGCTTCAGAGTTTTCTTGCCCAGATGTTTCTTATAGGTAGGAATGTGGACCCTCCAGGATGTATGAATCTTTCCTTCAGCAGACACTTACAATTTCCTTAATTATAATTTTATCCTCTATGGTACCTTTTATAATATAATTAATATTTTGTTTCATGTTTTGTCTTCTAACAGAAGAAATTTTAGGATATCCCATAATTAAGAAATGTGCTGCTTTGGGGGAGTGTTCTTTTAGTTGCTGTTTATACTTATAAGCTGCAGCTTTTATGCTCAGTTGTTTTAGAATGAATACAGATTATTATTGGTTGTACAGTGCTTCTGCTTTGATATAGGCCAGTTTTTTTAATCACTTATGTCATTATACATGTCTTCTCATGTTGGTCTATTTAGCCTTTTGTTTCCACTTTTTATTCCTGCTGAGAAGTATAGACTTTTTCTATCACCAGAAGGATCTCCTTCTGTCTCTTTGGTCAGGCATCATCAATCTGTATTGTCAAGCCGTACAGAGGAGCTTTTAGTCTCCAGCTGGTGATTCAAGATTTATACCACAGTGTTAAGGGGCACAAGAAAAATCAAATCACTAAGCACCTTATTTGTGAGTGAAAAAATAGAGAGTTTATGAAAAAGAGGAGCAGCATGCACAGCTGTCAAAAGCGGATAATTTATGTAAATACAGGTTGAAGGGAATTGGCAAGAGAATATTATATTAAGCTACGTTATTATGGGCAGATGATCCCGTATTTCAGAAATATTAATTATACTTGCAATCCATGTTTACATTAAAATTAGGATTCATGTAGAGTGGAGAGTCACATTACCTGCACCCTTGTAAGCAGTATTTTGATCTGTCTCAGTTACCATTAGTTTCAGTGTCAAAATACTTCAGTTCTGGTTAATGAACTACGTACTTGTAGAAAACTACCTTTTTTTTGAATGAGTTGCTTCTCTCTAAATGTTTATGTTCCTAGCTTTTAATATTGCAGCATAGAACTGCTCCTGTGCCCACACAGAGCCCTAAGTAAGGATTTAGGGGGTTGTGAGGTTACTAGGAAAGAGATCTGAAGGTTTCTGTCCTCAGACAAGGCACAGGGGAGGGGAGGACGATAGAAGTCATGTGACTGCCACTGATCGTAGAGTTTCAAGTCTATTTGCAGGTAAGAGTACTTGGCAGCCTTAGGAAATACCAGGTGGTGGTGGTTAATGACTAGAGCAATAAAACAAGTTGTGCCCCATCATCCTCCTCATGGTGTTCACTGCAAGGTTTTATCAGCATATGTGGTAACAGCTCTGGATGTGCTCACAGGGACCTGGCAATTTCTGTGGTACAGTGGAAAGCCCACCACTCTAGGCTGGTATTACCACTTGTATTATTATTACCCATAAAACTTAAAATCTGTATCAGTGACAGAAAATACTACCATAGTTTTGGGTGCAGAGGGCTGACTCCGTGAAGCCTTTGCTGGCACTAGCTGAGTGCTCGTGAGGGCACTTCTGCTTTTAGCCACAGTCATTATAGACAGATCTACTGGGAGAAAATAGTGGCTGGAGCAAATTTTAGTGAATAAAGCCAGCTGATCCCTTGGTCAGTATTAGCATAACCACAAAATCCTCCAGTGCTCCTTGTCCTTTGTATGGGAAGGGAATAACATAAGGCTGTAAAACTTCTCTTAGAGCAGACATTCTTAAATCACTTTTACTTATGGAAGTCAGGAGCAACATTTGTTTACTAACAAAAGTGTTTGGTTTAGTTCACTTTACTGCATTCTCTTAGGTCTGGGAGCCTGTTTGTATAAGGGCCTCAGAGTTCCCAAATTCAGATTCCTCAATTTTTTTTTTCTTTCAGTGAATTGATTTTTTAAAAATTATTGATCTTTACAGCCTTGCCAGCTGCTGCCACATTTGTGTTCCAGTCTGGAGCACCTGCTGGTGCTGGTCAGACACACAGGGTCAAAATTATCAAACTAAATTCAGGGGAATTCTGTGAGGGTAACTGCACAAGGCCAGGGTGAAAGCAGTTTTCCTAGTTCATTGTCCTGATGGACATATGCTATTTCTTCCTTTCCTTCCTTCTTTGGAACCGCCACACAGAAATGTGTGGTACATGTTGGGAATGATGTAAGCATGCATGCAAGCAAGATACGTATGTAAACATTGGTGCAATTCAAGGATTTCCTTGATCTCTGTGTACTTACCATTTTAGAAAGGCTCTAATCTCAATTGCATAACTGTTAAGCCCAGTGATTTTTGCAGCAGTCTCTCACTGCAAGGTGTTTATTGAGTCTTAGACCTGGAGCCGAATTTAGCTCAGTCTGAAAGTTAACTAGAATTCACTCAGATTTAGGCATTGTTAATTTAAGTAATTTGGCTTAAATATCATGAAAGTTGATTTAGTCTACGGATGTCTTTTCTAAGTAGTGCCAGCAGTTCACCTCTGTCCATTTGGAGATCTTGACTGAGTGTGTTGCTTTCCTGGCACGTGCTGGTGCAGACGGGAGAGGGCCTGGCTGGGCACTACTGGAGTTTTGGAAGTCTGTGCCAAATAGAGGTGACCTTTACAGTTCAACACATGTTCCACAGATACCTGCAGAAGACAAAGGATAAATGGAGCTTTCCTTTTCAAGTACTTGCCAAAGCTACTTTATAAAGTAACAGTTGTATTCGTGTTACAGTTTTAATGATGCCAGAAAGCTGCAAAGAACTGGAATATCCTGAAGATGCCTGTGATTTCAGCTAGGGAAGATGGCACATGGAGACCTTACTGGAGTTTTTACTGTCCCATAACAATTGGTCAGGATATTGTTGCTATTTTGTCACCTCTGCATTGCCCTTGTTGTGAAGGGTTTCATTTCACTTTCAGAACAAATTATTATGCTACTAACACTTGGTAACTTCCATCTTTTCAATCTTTAATTCCTTTCTTTTCTTAACACAGGGCCACAACACACAGTGATTTAGTACTACGTGCAGTAAAACTGGGGATTCCTTACAAGGTCATTCACAATGCTTCAATAATGAATGCTGTGGGCTGCTGTGGTTTACAGGTAATATTTTTGTATGTGCAGTCAGAATTTGTTAACGCTTCCTTTTCAGCATGCAACATGTCAGAAAAAGTCCCTTTTGATGAGCACATATGAAAATGAGCAGTAACACTTTTATTTTTCTCTGCTCTCCAACTTTCCTCTGCCTCAAGAGACCCTGATATTTAAGGTTATTTTGCAGATAAAACTTTGCTCATGTTGGCTTCCTTCTACTGCTCATGGTCACCTGATAAGTTTATTCTTAAATAAGGTTGTTATCTCGTTGAGAAGTATGCTGGTCCTGTCATAAAAGAAACAGATGCACAAGCTTGTGTATATGTCCAACTCATAACTAATTCCAAAGTCTTGTATATGATGCATTCTTTCTCTCCAAGTTCAATCTGTCTCCACTTTCTGCCTGTCTGATGAGAGAGGAGGGATTTGCCTAGCCAAGGAGTAGTAAAACAAATTACAGTTTTTGTGCATCTTGAATGGCTAAAGTAGAAAAGGTCTAGTGTTCCCCAAGAAAATAGTTCCTTTTACACATGTATAGGTTCATTATTACTTTTCTGCATGAAAAATGTTATGGCAGTGTATGAATCATAACTAATCACAGATATAAATTAGATGAAGTTTCCTCCTCTTGTTTTCATTCATTTTTAACATAGGACCTGCCCTCTCACCTAAACCAAGTTCCCACTTGACCAAGCACAGGAATGTAAATGTACTACAGACAAGAGTTGAGGGTTTGAACAATAACTTCATCACTGAAGGAGGAATTCCTTCCTAGCTGTACATAAAAGAACAAAATTTGTTTTAATTTCAGCAAACAACTTCAAATTTCCACTGACAAAACTCCAATACTCCAAATGCCATTGAACTAACAATGCTGTCCAACAGCAGAAAATCTGTTACAATAAGTTGGGTATTATCTTTGGTTTTGATTAGAAATCTGAGAGCCCTGTCTGATGCAGCAGTTCAACAACAGTGCATTGACACCTGCTCCAAGATGTGAATGCTAATGCTAAAGGGAACACAGCGCAGCATTCACACTCTATATAATTCTTCCTGTGAGCCCTTTCTCAGTGATACCTGCCTATTGCTGCAAGACTTGGGCAAAATTATCTTTTAGGAAGGAAATAAGTTTCTTGGTGTCTAAAATCTACATGTAGAGACAGATGGCAGCTGCCGCATGACTGCACTTACTGGGGCGGGTAGCGCAAGAGTTGGGGCTGGGGCTCTCTCTTTCCCCTTTTGGCTTCATGGTAGTGGAAAGTTTGCTTTTGCTGTCTGACTGTTGATAAGTAGTTTCTACTGGTCACTATCTTTTTTACTGTTCTCTTGTGTTCATTCAGAAGGAAGGTGCAAAGCCCAAAGAGTTTTCTACGTTTTCTGAAAGTTTGCTTCCCCCACAGCTCCAGCTAGGCATGGGAAGGAAGAGTATAGAACTTCTGGGTTCCTTGAAAGAAAACTAGCTGGGAGTATATTACAAACAATCCATGTGCAGAGTTTTGGAGATTAGTTTACTATTTATTTCCTTATCCCATGCTGAAGGGAACAGACTATGAAGGAAACTTGATCTGTTTTTTAAACCCTGGCATTAGTCCCCTTTTCCTCCCTGGCTTGGGAGGGGCTGCCTTCTCCTAAGTCAATATTCCTGTTGTTGTATAAAGCATTTAGGAAATAGTGATCATATTACCAGACAGACTATAACCAGTTATGTGTTTAACTCTTCATTGCTCCTTACAGGCGTAAACAGCAACTGAGGTGTATCTTACATAAGAGCAGCCTGTGATTTAGAGCTGTGGTGGAAGTTCATAATTTCTTTCAACAGTCTTTACGTTCATGGCTGTCTCCTACCATCAATTTAATTTTGGAGTTATTGTGTCTCAAACTGCAGAGTTGCTGTCAAGTTATAGGAGGGATTCCTCTTTTCTTTACCACAGAAAAGGCTTGGCTTTTTTTTCTTGCTTTAATCTGATTGTGATACAAACCCTCTCTCTTTCTTAGCAGAGAAAAACAGGAAACACCTTTATACACTGTTCTGAGAGCCATGTGCTTAGTGAGCTGTAACTGCTGATTAGGCCCTCAGTGCAGCTACAGCGCAGTCTGAGCAGGGAAGGACATGTCTCTTGTCATCAGAGCCTGACTTCCAAGGTTTTACCTGTACCCACTCTCAGTTCTTTGGAACAGGCTGATTGCTAAGGCTTTTAGCCCTAGAATAAAGAGGCAGAAAACTCAGGATCTCTAAAGTACACATTTTCAGTTCTTCCTAGTCTGCATGATATTTGGGTTAGTTTGGGAAGGTCACTGGCCAAAATGGTGCTTTCAGGACAGAATTCTCTCTGACCCAATTCTGGTGATATATCTTTGAGGTAGAAGTATGGATGATCAAACCCATGAGGAAGATTCTGCATCGTACTGACCTGGGTGCATGCGAAGGAATGATGCAGCTCAAAATAGCTGAGATAATGGCATTAACATAAAAAAGAGGATTGAGAACTAAAGTGCAAAGACAGGGATGAGATAAAAGACTGAAAAGAGACACTCGTTTCTGAGTGGTGTTGCTCATTTTGAAAGCATTTGCTTTATATTTTGGTAGGGCAGCTAGGAAAAAAAACATGTTATGGCAGAGTCCTGCCTTTCTTTTGAGATGTACCCACTTTCCACCTGAATAGCTTCAGAACAAACATCTGCATGTTCCCTCGCTTCTTTCAGTGACTCATTTCGATGTTTTTTGTTTGCAGTCCAGTTAGTTCTTGTAAGACAATTACAGTTAGAAAATAGAAAATCGTCTTTTTGCTACCAGCTGATCACTTATGCAAAAGCAATGCTTACTATGTGATTTTTGAGCTTTTACTGAACAGGTGAGTACATTTTCAGTGTTAAGTTGAAAAGTATTACTTAAAGGTAAGGAAGCTGAAGGATGCTATTATAAATCACTGTGCTTATAGTCAGATAGAAAACCTGTAGTAGCTGCAGGAGTGGAACCTCTGAGTTCCACCCTCTCTCTGTGCCCTAATCTTCAAAAACCCTTTGCTCCAATAGGAGGGACTTTACATGAAATGGTTTTTATTCACTGACAGTTAAACCAAACTGTTTTCCATCACTACTTGGTTTTCTCAGTTACTACCAGCTTCTGAGCATTTTAGAAGCTGGCATTTTCTCAAGCCAATTAAAGGTTAAATTAGTGCTAGTCACACTACTTCATTACTCACAATTGCTGTCCAACTTAGTGTCATTTGTCACCAACAAGCATGATGCAGAAAAATCCATTTAATCAGAACAGTTTGTGGTATTTTTCTTTTAGCTATCTTTATTTCATATTAGTAACCTAAGTCACCAGGGTGGGAAGGAAACATTGTTTGATGTTGCTGGGAAGCGTCTTAGAAGATTATTAAAGATAAGGTAACACTACCTTGGAGAGAAAATCTTCTCCTATTCAAGTTTGCTTGTGGAGATTCTGAGTATTTTGGTAGCTGAATGTTATTTTGCTTGTGGAGTGCCCATTTCCTAAGCACAGATACAAGAGGCAGCCATAGAAAAATGTGCTTTTTCCTTCAGCTGCTTTTATGTGATTTGTCCCAGCTGTCTTTTGAAGACTGCAGTCATGTGGAGTGGGATTCCCTCAGCCAAGTGTCTTTTCTTCACAGTTCTTTTCTCTCTGGCATGTACTAAGGGGACTGGAGGTTTTTGGGTCAGCTGAGGCAATTTGTTGGCCTGCAGTACAAAAAGGAGTCATAGCCACATACGTGTGAATGGCAAAACCTTTCAATTTCATGTGAAGGTTCTCAGGAGAGGCATTTGAAGTTGCTAAATATCTGTGCTACTAAATAAGGTAGTGTAAAGGCCCAGAGCTAGGCTTGTGGTTGTTTCAATTCCAAGCAAAAACGAAGGTTGACTGATTCTTGCTGCCTCTTTGTTGATGATTGCACTGCCTAAGCTGCTATCTGGTAGAAATATATAATGTAAAGAACAGTAGGAGCCCTTTAATCTGATGTATGTTGTCTAGAGGGTTGTTAACAGGTTAGGGAGGATAAGGGGAAAAAATCCGACTTGTTAGTTTGCCCTTTTTGAGGATGAACGTTGCATAGCATCACGTCAGGATTCTTATGACAAAGGTAAAGAAAACGTGTCTTAGCTTTTCTGTGTACGTTCATTGGGATTAGGAAGTAACCTGGGATAGTGCAAGGTGCTCTGCAGTCTCCAAATTCCAATGAGGAGTAGTCTAAGGAGAAAAAGCCTCTTAGTTCCTGTCAGTGGGATGTGATCAGGCTGTGAAGAGTGTTCAGACAGAGCTCACCTGTCTGCAGTGTAACCTGCAACCACCCCAACACAGAACACAGCTGAGTAGCACATCAGTCCTGTGGGGTTTCAGTGCTTGGCTGTGTATTACAGGTAGCAGGTCTGAAAAATGCAATGACTCATTTTATCTTCTTGTCCCACCACATAACCAGTTCTGAAGCTGTTTGAAATTGTAGGAAAGCAGGTTGGCTCGTAAGTGAAAAATTGCTTTGTCACCGTTGCAGCTGATACAGCAATAATTCTGGGAAAGATGCTGTAAAAATAAATGTCTGTATTTTGAAATGTTTACTTCTTGGTTTCTCTGCAGCTGTTGCCCTACTGCCCTTTAATATGATGTTGCATCTTCTCTCCTGCTTGCTTTAGTACTTTTTAGACAGGACGGAGGATCTTCCTTTTTTAATTTCCCTATTTAGTCTCAGTCTTGTTCCTTCTTTTTAGGCCCTAAATTTTTGTGGTGATTAGCCACATTTTAAGTGAGGATGGTTGATCTGGACTGTTTCAGGTGTCTGATGTCATTCAGACTGGCCTTTAACAAAGTTGCTCAGTAGTTTTCACTGAAATTTCACTTGCATGCAGGCTTTCCAAGGTGAAATCATGAAATCATGGTGCAGCACTTTTTCTCTCATAGTTTATTTCAGCCTCTCAATTTTTAGTCTCTTTGTTTTATTTTTTTGCTTATATAAACAAGAAGTAAAATAAGAAACATCAATAACAGAAGGATTAAAATACCAACTGAAAACATCACCTCAGTACCAAAAGCTGTCAATCATTCTCTTGTGTTGCATGTGTAAATAAAATAGGAAGTTATAGGTTGGTCTGAGGTGATGTAACTGTGAGTTGAAGCACAGTTTTCTGCAGTGTTTTGCGAGGCAGAAAACTCTAGCAGCAGGGCATTGCCTCAGAGTAGAGTTCTGGCTTCCTTTCCCGACTCTCAGCTATTGTGTTGCAAAATTTAAGTGCACAAAGCTTTGCTTAAGCCAGTTACTTCTTGGGTGGGGGGGGGAGAGGTATTTCCAAAGACTGAGGTCTTTCAAAATGACCTTTTGAAATTTTTCTGTGATGTTTTTGAGCACTGGGGAGAAGGTAAGAAGGTTAATTTCCAACCTGAGAGCACAAAATATCTTTCCAACCATCTCACTGCGCCCCTTTGAAATTCTGGCACTTCTGTGCCTGAGCAGAATGTAGGCTCTAACAAATCCAATGATTAGTACAAGTGTGATGCTGGAGATGTTTTGGCTTGTACAGAACAGATATCACCTGCTCCTAAGGTCAGGTGCTTCAGGAGGAGAGCAGCACACAGCAGGCTGTGAACCTTCATTTGCTGTTGCCTTCCTTTAAAGCTGTGCCAGGAAATGCACAGCATGATCATTTCAGTGAAAACACACACAGCTCCTTATCACCTGAGTGAACTTCTTCTGAACAGTCTCAAAGCACGGCATTAATCCTCAGTTGTGCTGTAATACACCTTGGCTGACGAACATGTTGAACAGTTTTATTCCAGTGACAAGTGTGATTTCTGGATTTTTGGGGCCCTATTTAGCATTCAATGGTTGGTGGAAAGAACATTTTTTTTTAATTTCAGTGGGTTCTGACTCTAGTGGACCTGCTGTCTTCTGTAACTGCTGAGTCCTTAGAATAGTAGTGGAATTTTTGGTATTTACTGCTCTCTCTGCACTTAGGCTTTTCTTGAAAATGGGATACTTCACGTGATTTCAAGAGGCAGAAATTAAAATGCAGCAGAGGAGTATATATTAGGAAAAAGCTGATCTGCATGAGGTACAGGGAGGGTGTTAAAGGTGTAAGTTCTGATACAGTCATGTGTTGCTTCTTTAATGCAGACTTGTCCTGGTGGAAGAGCAGTTCCTGTGTTTGCATAATGTCACACATCTGCAGAGATCAAATGCTGGATGAGAAAGGAACAGTGGTTTGTGTCTGTAGAAGTGTTTGTAAGATAATTGGTTACAAGTAGTCAAGCACAATCCACTTATTGCTTCAGTTCCACAGCATTCAGACTGATGGTGTACCAGAAAGTTTCCAAAGCACTATTTCTCCCCATTTAAATTAAAGTAAAAATATGTGTGCATTAATGCTGGGAAATCTGTTCTTCACAAGATTAGTTAGTAGAGGGGTATAAGCTGCAAAGGCATTTCTAGGAGGTTAATAAAATATGTCCCATTCCATCTTATTGTTGTAGAAGCTACTTCTGTACTTCCAGGTGCTGAGAAAACAGGTGTATTTTTGTGAGACTGTAAGTAGTTTTCTATGATATCAATACTTGAAGGTATTCTGAAGTTATTTCTACTGAGTAGACAGGCCATTTCTGAGAAAAGCGTTTTATTCTTTTCTGACATTCAGACTTTAGTTTAATGCAAAACCTGGTAAACAAAGGACAGATTCAGTGAATCTGACTGGCAGGGCTTGCACAGAAAGAATAACTTGCTTAACTTCTTGTTGGCAAAAAGGATGGAGAATCTTTGTAATGAATAATGGAAAAGAGAACGATAACAATCGGAACAAGTGCTGTAGGGTATAAAGTTGAATGCCCAACTTGTTCTTAATATGTGGCAGAGTGGTTTAAAAGTTCTGATTCACAACAAAATACCTATCAGATAGTAACATTTTGCCCACTTCTGCACAGCCTTTTCTTCACTAAAAGGCAGAGGTGGAAGTTTGTCTCCTTCAGGTTATTGAAATGCCAAAGGGATAATATTTAAGGTTAATTGAGGCCACTTTCTGTCCTGAACAAGGACTGCTGCTTTTGGGAAATGGCTGCAGTGGCTTTCAGGTGGCAGATGGGAAGCAGTTAGTTGAGTTGGTACTGGGCATTTCGGCAATTGTGGAAGATTGCAGGGATAATACCAATGAGATTAAAGGTACCTTGCTCCCAGATGTTCCAGCAGTGAAGGGGAGAAACTTCTTGTATATTTTTTCTTCAGATTTGGTACAAAATGGGAAAGAGTTCTAGGCAGCCACATGGAAAATAGGCAAAGCATAGTATGGGGTTTTTTTAAATTTTCTAGAACACAGCTAAAAACTTGAAATAGTTAACAAGTTACCTCAGGAGCAATTCATTTGGTTCAACCTGTATTTACTTTACTGGAAGAACCTTTAGATTGTGAAAGGTACACTGTGTGTTCTTGTCCTTGCACTACAATGAAATACTTAAAAGAGGAAATGTTTTCAGTAGTATTCCAGGAGTCTTTGAATAAACTCTGTTTCCATCAGCATGAATGGTTAAAATTTGAGCTTTTGGTCCCTTGAAAACAAACATGTTTCTGCTTTGATTCAAGTTCTGTTCTGCCAGCATAAAGGAGTTAAAACCGCAACCTAATGCCACAGTAAAATCAGTCTGTGCAGGGAAATCCCCAAATGGCACAGGGCTGCCAGAGCTGCTTCTACACAGGGTCCTCTGCCAACAGCACACACCGTGTCTCCTGTAGCGGGCATGGAAAAGCATCTTTTCCTTCCAGGAGTCCAGAGGAAGCGGGAAGGGCAGACCATATAGCTGTTGTTTCTCTGGTGGGCCTGAACAGACAGAACGTGGGCAAGCTGTAACAATCCATCTGGGACGGCCCCATTCCAGAGCTGAACTGACCAAAATTGGTGCATGGTTTTACCCTTTTTCAGCTTGGTTACAAAAACTTCCAAGCCAAATATTGCCTTAGGGTACATATGACTTTCACTTTTGCATCACCAGAGATGATTGGCAAGACTGTTACTTCAGATGTCTTCCCTGAGACTAGGGACTTACAGTAATAAATGTGTTAAGACTGAGAACAGAATCAGTGAGTATGCTTGACATACAATCTGCCAGCAATATTCTTCTTACCATATGTGCATAAACAATGTTGCACCTCTCTGCTTCATGTGCAATCTGTCCTTTCTTCAGATCTTCCCATCTACTGTCTCCTTAGACTGTAACTTCTTTTGCATGACAGAGCTTTCTTTTATCTGCAGGAAAGTGCCATTTTAAAATAAATACTACTGATCGGTGAATCAAAACATTGCATTATAGCATTATTTGGAGTTGCCTAGCCTTAAGCAAAATAAGAAATAACAAGTAACACTTTTCGTGCTAATCTTACAAAGTTTCTGCCTTTAAAAGGACTTCAGAATTAAGTAACAAAGAATAGAAGGTATATTGGAAGTTAGTTAATATACATTGGAAGGGTGAATGCGAGAGAGAGGTAAAAACTTTACAAGTAGCTCATTACTTGTCCTTTAACATTATTGCATGCTCTCAGTTTTTTCTTATTGTGTATACATGTGTATACATGTTCCTGCATTTGCTTTGTTTTACAGTTGTACAGTTTTGGAGAGACAGTTTCTATAGTGTTCTGGACAGATACATGGAAGCCAGAAAGCTTTTTTGACAAGATCGAGAAGAACCGGCGGAGTGGAATGCACACCCTGTGCTTACTTGGTGAGTGGCTGCCCGGGCTCCTTGGCTACCAATGCAGCACTCAGAGGCAGCAGTGACAGGCCCGGGATGCTGTCTGTGATTCAGCATGTTCTTAGCTGACATGTACCTCTGAAAACACAAAAATGGAATGTTAGTGCACGTGTGTTTAGAGTCAGTTCGCCATTGTTCATGTTACAGCAGCCGGGAATTTCATAATTCCTTCTCAGAAAATCCCTACTGATGCCTTTGTAGAAGTCAAAGAGGAGCAGAAGGTCCATTTCTGCTCTTAAGTTCACTAAGATTTTGAGCTAGATCTGGCTCAGGGTCCAAAGCAGATTGCAGTGACTAGCAGCCATCTTTTATTGAGTTAATTAAGTCAACACATGTAATTTTCTGAGGAGCTAAATCATACTTTTAACCACATTTGTATTTTGTAAGGTGATATTCTTTTTCCTAACTTATCTAAGAATCTTTTGTCATGTGAGAAGCTTCAGTGTTAAAAAAATCCTTACTATCATGGAGCTGAAATGGAACACTGCTCCCACCTGATTGCTGTCCCAGGCTCTCCCGCAGTGCTGTCTGATCTTCACCCTACCCCACAGCCCTCAGCTGACAGCCACTTCATGAGAAACTCCACTAGTTTAAGTAAATCCTTCAAGATTATGCAACTCCCAGGACATAAACTATAAGGCACCTGCATTATTTGTAGATATAGTTATATATCTCTCTGTATCATAGTTTAGACACAGCTGGGACCATTCAGGGCTAAATAATTAATATCTTACATAAAAACAAAGCCTGTGGTAACTGGAGGATCCTGAGCAGGAAACAATTTAAATTTGTAAGCGTCACTGCACATCAGACTTTCCAATGCCTTGAAAGTTATTTGTTTTCAAAACTGGCTAAAAATCAGAATTCTGGTAATTTGTTTTAAAGAAGGATGACCTGACAAGGGCTTCAGACAAGGAGAATAAAAATTTTGAAACCATAAAATTGCATTATAAATCTCACATTTCAGGGATTACTGTGGTAGCTGGCATCTCATTGTTACTCAGAGCCAAAAACTACCCATTTCCAGACTAATAGTTCCCTTAATAATACTTGGTCATTTTGGTCTATGTATTGTGTTTATCCAACTGACTGGATTACTGAGACATTAAAAAGGTTAGTGCTGATAAACTTCTGAATTCAAAGTGACTCCATGGACATATAAGCAATTTGGTAAACTGGGCACTTACAGTCTTGCAGCTTTGCAATTCAAACCCTTTTCATCTGAGTCACTTTGGTTTACAAGTTAATGATATAATTAAGCAATACTTTTTTAAAATCCAAGGTTAAAAATGTATCCAGCTTTCAGTATGGTAATTTTTGGGGGGCATCTGAATACAGGTAACATTCAAATTCTTCTTGGAGAAATTATGGTCAATTAGTTTCTTAAAAATGCATCTGTGCAGAGCCTTGCCTCCCTCACTCCTTCTATTTCAGTTTTGCCCAAGCCTTTTTTTCCCCCATAGCAGAAGATTGTTCTAAATTCTGATTAGGACAGGAAGTGCTAACGAAAGTCAGGTTCCTGCAGGGCAGTGATGTAACCACTGTCAGTCAGTCATACCCTTCTACCTTTGGTGACCACGAAGTGCTCATAATTTAGGAGAAGCCTCAGTACCCTGGTGTGCCCAACTGTGCTGGTATTTAGCTATCCCATTATAAACATGCCTGCTATTTGTATACTCAGCTGTATTTTAGTTCAGCTGTGTTGCTCTGAAATCTGTGAAACCTGCCCTATCTTTGGGTAAAATCACATGCATAAAGTCAGAATACTTTGTGATTAATTAACACGTGTAACAGTACAATTATTCCTGTAATAGCTAAAGTGTTGTTATAAATTTTATAGAAACCGTTAATTAAATTTTTACCTACATAGAAAACCAAGTAGGCAGTTTGTAGGCAACCTGAGTTTTAATATGTTTTGTTCTACAGATATTAAAGTGAAGGAGCAGTCTCTGGAGAATCTCATGAAGTGAGTCACCATTTTGAAAATATACAGAAACACACAGTGCACTTACAGAGGTTTTTTTGTACAAGGAACAAAGGTTCTTTGCCCATGGCCTAATACTGAACTTACCTGCCTTCTCCTCTCGTGCTTCTCAGTGGCTACACTCTTTTGTTTCTTAAAAGGAGTGGAACTCTTGTTCACTGCAGCAGGACCTGGCTTTATTTACAGTAACTGAATAGAGTTGCAGCAGAGCTGATTTTTTTTGTAACTGTTGCTGTGAGAAGTTCTCGGTCAGAATGGGGTAGGCTTTCCGCTTGGCGAATGAAGTGTTATTTCTCCACTGTTCTGTCACGGCCTGAAACAGATTAATATCTGAAACAGCGTTCTAAATTTATTCTTCTGTACACTGGCTAGAAACAGTGTGAAACACAGCATACCAACCTTTTTAAACAGTTAAATAAGCAATATATAGAAAATGCTCTTAAATTTGTTTAACTGTATTCAAAAAGCTCTTACCACATCTTATTCATCTCTCTGCAATCTGTGTGTTTTGACAGTGGTGAATATAAATGGTTCCTTTATACACATGCTGTAACTGGTCTAAATTAACGTTTGTGAAGTCTCACGGTATCATTGAGGTTTGTTTATTCTGGAGTTCAAAATAAAATCTGTTTGACTGAATCCACAGTTGGCAAGGAAAGCAGCATTTCATTTAAGAATATATTTCTAGTCTGTAATCATCTGTCTACAGGGCATTTGACAGAAAAACAGTCATTTGCCCTTGAATTTAAGTCTAATGCATCTCCCAGGAGTAGCTGCAAAACCTGCATATTGCTTCTAGCAGCTGAATTTGCTTTTAGGACTCAAATGATCTGCCAGCGGGAGGCCCAGCTGTTTCACAGGTGTGGTGAGAGCACAAAGACTTCTGTCTTCCGTAAAAGGCCCAGCCTGTCTAAAAGGCCCTTTTGTCTAAAAGGCCCAGCCTGAGAGCCTGGCCTGTTAAAGTTCAAGTTGCTGTCTAGAGGCCTCTTGAAATAAGTTGCAAGAACGCTGGGGATAATGAAACGTGTTATATGTGAAATTTCTCTACTTTCCCTTCACGGCAGAGGAAGAAAGATTTATGAGCCCCCGCGCTACATGAGTGTGAATCAAGCTGCAGAACAGCTTCTTGCCATTATTCAAAACAGGAGGCTCCAAGGAGAAAAACCAGGTATACGACTGCAATGTTTGTGTCTGCTACTACCCCTCTCCAGTCACACCCCTTGATGAGCCTCTGGGCTCCACTCCCTTCCTCTTACTCTTGGCATTCTCTGGCTCTGCAGTGGATTTCGGCTGCTTTAAATCTTAGTCGAGATGGATTTAGCTGAGCTTGAACATGGCATAGCTCAGTGAGCAAAGCTTCTGAAGGTGCATAAGTGGCTCCTGGAGGTTTAGTCAAAGCCTCAGTTTGGAAACCATGGACTGTTTCTGTCCCTCTGTAACTGTGAGCTCTTTGATCCATTCGAGTTGCAGGAGGTGGAAGGATTCTGAGTGTTTTAGATCAGTCAAGCTTCAAAAAAATCTCTGCTATGTTTTACTTAGACTGGTCACACTCTGCTCTGCATGAATCTAGGTTAATCCAAGGATGCAGAACTGTGATTTTGACCTTGAATTCTTCACAGTAGTCAGGAGCAAACTGTGAAGCATGTTTATTGAGACCAAGGGTAAACTCACAGCAGCTATAAAGATGACTCAGTTGTGTCACATAAATTTTTTTCTAATAAAAATTCATCTAGCTCTATTCTTCTTTTTAGAAGTTCAATACTGTTAAAATGAAAATCTTTTCCTTTTATCCCTTATATAGAATGAATCAGAAGCAGCCATTTCCTGAAAGTGAACACAGTTCCTGAAGGAATTACATATTCTACTTCTGCTGCCTTCCCATTCCTCTTTATCAACATCTTTAAGCTACAGCTTTATTTGATTTTGAAGAATAATCTTCTTTCTGGGCCACTCCAATAATTTAATAATTAAAGGTTTAAGCATTTAGAGTACTTTTCCCCTTTATGATAGGATCATTAGTCAATAAATTAAGCATTTAATCTTCTTTCTTACAGAAACTACTGAAAACACAATTTGTGTTGGCCTTGCTCGTGTGGGTGCTCCAGATGAGAAGATTGCAGCAGGCACACTACAGCAGATGTCCAGCGTGGAGTTGGGAGGTCCACTACATTCCCTAATTGTTACAGGCACTATGCATCCTCTGGAATTAGAAATGCTTAAGCTTTTCTCTGTAGATAGTTCCAGTTTTGAAAATAATGCATGTCAAAGGACCACTTAAATAAAAATGAGGAATTTACGTTTTTATTCCATCTTTAATTTCGTAACAGCATAAAGTTATTCCTGTGAATATTTAAGACCTGCCTAACAGCAGTTACACTGCACATGGCTTCAGAAGACAACACTGTAGGAATGTGGACCTGCTTTTACCCGAGGCTGCAAACTGCAAGCTGCACCTGCCTGTATCTGCTTCTACCATGTAGATACCTCCAGAAAGTTTTAAACACATCAGCATGACCTGTGATCAAGGGGACATCACTTCTGCTGTAGTCCATTAACCAAGCCTACTGCATACATTGTTATAAGTGCATTAGATGTTACATTTTGCTTTTCAACTTTCCAGAAACTCAGTAGTCCTCTCACTTACAGAAACCATTAGCATGCAAAACCTGTTAGGTCTGTGTCCATCTTTACTTTGGAGAATGAATACAGACAGGTGAGAATGCTCTAAACCGAGAAAAACAAGAACTTACCCTTTGATCAGCTGGTGAAACAGATGGAGAAGCTGCACAGAATTTCTTATTTCAGAAGGCTGCAACTTAAAATAGAACTGGATTTCTTCATATGTTAATGCTAGCATTCATGAAGGGCTGGACTCAACTGCAACAACCACAATTAACCTTAATCTCCACAGACTGCAAGAATTCTCTTTAAAATCAGCTAGTGGATGGTGGTGGTCATTATTTCAACTAGTCTTCATCAGTAAGATGAGAACAAAGCAGACCTGTTTGCATTTTTTTTAAACTGAAGATTTATTGGAAAGAAATTTGATCCCATATCTTTTCAGCAATATAGGATATTTAGCATTTTATACAGACTGTATTCAAGTAGAAAAGATTACATTAAAAATTTCTTAATATTGCACTTGGGACAAGTCGTGGCTAAGCTACTAACATTAGCATTCCAGAACAAAATCAGACATAGTCTCCAGAACTTTAGTGAGCTGCCTTGTGATTTCTTCACAGGTACTTTGACATACTGTGCTATTCAACTTTAGCTCACTGCTAAGAGTAATTCCTGTAATTTAAAGGTAAAGGCAAGCAATATGCTATCTGCTACCAGGAATGATTTTGGCAATTGCTTCATTCACATTATTTCACACTTCAGCCAAAATACTGTAGCCATTCACTTAACTCTTGTACAAGATCCCAGCGTACACGTGAGAGACTCCAATGCCCATGGGAAGTGAAATACCCACCTCCTTTTACTTATTATTTCCGCCAAATTACCACACAGGCAGGAACTTTTTGTGGCTCACTGAAACAGAGAAGCAGATTAAGGAGTATTTGCACACAGCAAGACACAGTCTTCACATGCCAAGCACAGCAGAAGCACGACTGGCATCTTCACATTATAGCAGTGTCTGGCCAATGGAGTCCCAGCAGGGATGGTCACTGCAGGAAAGCCTGAATGGGGGACAAATCCAAGAGGGAATAGAAGTGTAAAGGAGGAATTAACTACTGAGTCAGTATTAGGGATCAGACAGATTATTTAAAAAAAAGAAAAAAAATCCTGCTTAAAGGGGTGGATAATCAAGAATCATAGCAAGTGGCAGTCTGATGGCTTCTGGAAGAAACAGGACAGGGCTTAGTTATTAAATAAAACTGTTGCTCTGAACTGGTATTTAAAGACCTTGTTTCATGAAGAGGGAAAAGGGTTTGCATTTTACAGAAGCATGCAACTGAAAATTTGCACTGTGCAACTGCAACTGAAATCTGCACTATGAGAGAAATGCTGTGGACTCTACAATCTGAACACAGAGTGTGTGCAAAGGGTGGAAAACTGCAGGTCAGCAGCAGCTTCTCTCCCCTCTTGTATCTTGTTTAAATTCCCAGAACAGGTTCACTTACAACAGTTAAAAAGAGGTACCCTTACTTTCCTTCACCTTTAAAGCCAGTTTTACTTAAAAAAAAAAAAAAATTAAGAATGTTGAGTCACTAATGTCCATTTTATTATTAGCAGCAGTTTCAATTTTTATGTAAAAATAGTGTCAGCAGCTCTCACTAATGATGCAACTAAACTTTTGTTTTAGTAAGCAGTGTTACATAAAACCCAGAGTCACTTATTTGCTTCTTGCACTTTTTGCCTTAGTTTAGCAAATCACACAAGTAACTCTGCAGGGCCTGGCTGATGGAAGGAGCCAGTCTATCCATATCTGTAGACTTACCGGATTAGCCTATAAAGGACCGATCTTCACTGTGCATATTCATAACAGTAGTTTTCTTCTACTGTTATTTACCATAAAAAACACTGGGGCATTTTAATACAGACACTCTGCAGCCTTTGTTTTATCTCCTTCTTTTGCTGTAAGTGTGGTAAAAAACATGCAGTTCACAGGCTTGGTCTTTGGGACAACAGGGTTGGAAGTTACTGGTGTTTCAGTCACAGAAAAAAACCCACAAAGACAGACTGTGTTTAACCCCACAGTAAGCTCAGCTACATGAAAACATGAGAAAACCATACCTTGAAAAGGTGGAGTAAAACTCAGTAGTGAATACCAGGAAGCTGAGTTTTAGCAGATGATCTGCAGACATTCATCCATCTCCGGATGTCAGTCATTCACACAAAGCTCTGTTTAAATGATGCCATGCATCTCCAATAAAGTGTCAAAAGCAAAGTGTTACATAAGCAGCCAAGTGTTGGGTAATTAGCAAAACACAGACTAATGGTGCTTTGGCTCTCAGGGTAAGAAAAGCTCCACTGTCAATTCGGTGATTTGTACTCTCCCAAAACCTGAGCAAGTATCCCCTCAGTAAGTGAAAAAAATAAATCTGATGCCACTCGGTTTACTGACATACCAGACATGACTGTAGTTACCTACCGGAGATGTCATATAGTGTCTTCTGTAGCATTTTGTGATGCTTATCCTTTTTCAGAAAGCCAAAAAAGGCTTAAAGTCTATTTTAAATCTGACTTCCCTACACTATCCCCAATTATATTTGACAAATGATACATTTCTTACTATAAAACACCAAGTTTAAAAAATAACGAAGTGCTATCTTGGTTAGAAAACGCAGACTTGTACATATCCTTCCAACAATCCGATAAATCATAATAAGCAAAAAAATAAAAAATCAAAAGTCATTAAAATGGTTATTGTATAATTATAACTGGCTTATAGGCTTTTTCACTCCATTTCCCATATTAAATAAGTCTGCAGATGTACATTTAAAAAAATACTACTACCAAAAAAACCCAACTGCCACTCGGCCAGATTGTCACTTGGAAACAAACAGTAGCAGTTGTCTTTTCATGAAGAAAACTAAAATAGTGGCCAAGCTCAGTGACTAGGGCAGCACTACATATTTTAGCAAGTCCAGGAATACCCAGTCCCAAAATGTGCTGGTGTAAAAATGATTTAAACCAAGGCCTGCTCTTGGATCATGACACAATTACACTGAAGTTGGCTGGTGCTTGCCTTTAAAGTAGTATCAGTTGATCTTCTCTAGCCTCAAAAAGCAGTAACACTAACTATTAAAAAATGAGGAAGTCATGCTGTCAGCCAACAAGCAGCAGTCTATATGCAACACGCTACAAAACAGTAACTCCACCCTATAATCACAACCAGATTTTAATCACCTTTTCTATGAACACACATGCACACGGGATCTTAAACTGCAGTGCTCAAATCTGCTCAACAGATTCTTGCAGCTCACCCTGTGCTGTGTAATCCCAGATCCCATCTTTCAGTCAGGAAAGTCTGGGCCTGGCAGGGGATCTGCAAGGTGGGATGGGGAGGGAGCCTGACAGTGCCAGGCAGGAGGCCAGAAGAGAGATGGGGAGCGGTGCAGCCAGATGGAAAGGCACCCTGCACCCACATCCCCAGGAGCAGCCAACAGGGTGAGAAACCAGCAACAGGGATAAAGAAGGATCTGAAGACTGGAAGAGACTGTAAAGCTTAAAAGCAATAACATATGTGGCTTTGTACTGCTATTTTTCTTTGTGCCCAGTTTTCGGTTCCAAGCACAAGAGTACACCCCCAAGCTCTGTACAAAATCAACATTCATGTTTCAATATCCCATCTGGAAAAGTCAGGAACCGCCTATCAATTTGGCAACTGTTGTGTTTTCACGTGAGAAGAAATCAAAATTCAGGTGCTCTATAGGAACAAGAGTAAATGCAAGAAACTCTTCATATCTGCTATGAATTCAACAATATTAGTGGTAAACATTTCTGCACATCAATCTTCAGTAATTTCGTAGTGCCTAGCACTTACTACACAGACATTGTCAGCTTCAGAGGGCCTTGATTTCACTGTTACCACATAACAGGTACCAAAAAAATACTTAAAATCTACACCAGTCAGTGGCAGCTATGATTTATCAGAAAAACGCCTGCCTTGTTTTTTACTCCAGTGTTCTGTTTGTAAAATGTCCTCTTAAAAAGTCTTGCATTACTAAGTTAACTACTACGGCATAGTGGAACTATCATCTGTAATACCAAGTATAGCAGATTGGTTTTGAAAACAACACTCCGATATCTGAGTAAAATGATTATAAATGCTAGAAAAATATGACAGACTAATGTTTCTGGAGAAAAACCCAAACAACCAACCCAAACTGCACTAAGAACTTTCTCCCCCATGAAAACATACAAAAGCTACAGCAAGATAGGCAAAGATATCAGACTTGTCAACCTGGGAAAAGCATAATCTTAAGCATGAAACATGGTCCTTATTTCCATGTTGGGTATAGCCACCAGGAACAACTATTTTCAGTATTTGGAAAGGCAAAAACTTATCTCACCAATCACTTTAATAAAAATTATTACAACCTATTAAAATCAAGGAGATTTAAGCTTTCACAAACAATTTCGAGATTTAATTTTTTCCACCAGGATTTGGAAAATAAAAAACTTCAAGCATTGCTTCCATCACCAGCATCTTCCCTCAGCTGCCTGTTGCTTAAGTGACTATAAACGTGAGTAGCATCATGTAGTGTCTCATTACTTTCAACAGTATGAAGAGACTAAGAATTGGAGTTAAATCTTAATGTTTTGACTAAGATAATTTTCACAAGACATGTGCAACAAAATACCCAGCTTGTTTTGGAAGCAGCTTTGTATTTAACATTTAGAATTCTTCTGTCTGGTAAGATGCAAGTATAATGGAAGTCTAACATCTACAGTTATGCAAGTACACAACCCCCCCACATACATCACTAGTAAATAATCAGACTGCATACAAGATTATTTGTAAAAGTAATAAAACCCTTTGATGCTCCATATTTTTATGCTGGCAAACAGCTCTCCTGATATAAAAGGCACTTTGAAAACCCAATATGGTTTGGTTCATTAAGTTTGCAAAGTACAAACAATTGTACAAACATACAATTATATTGAAGCATGTCAGCCATTGTGACATCATCTACAAAACACGTTTCCAATTGTCAATAACACTGGTTTCATGGGAATGAGCAGTGGTTTCAGCAGCTTTACTGAAGACATGACAGGGTTTCCAGTACCGCCATCTTATTAAGTAAAAACCCCGCAAAAACTTACAAGTTTGGGGGCCCCAAAAAAACCAAGACCCAAAGTCCATAACATTCATTCAACAGTTACTCCTTAGCAGTGAACTCCACCCATGGCCCAAGGGCAGGAATCTATTCAGTCGATTGCAGAACAGTGGTGGAGGCAGGCTCTGTCTCGAGAAGTAGGTTGTTATACCAGTACAGTACTGAAAACTTTGGTCCAACAGCACAATTCCAGAAATTCACTACATGGCTGCAACATCAATCTGTATGTAAAGCTGTCTTACTCCCGCCTATGGAAAAGGGAAGGAGAATTAAAAACCCACTAAAGCCAAAGCAATTTACCTGCCCTGAACATCAGTCCACATCAATAAATTACCTAGCAAAAAACCCTCAATGTCTTACTTATCTGTAATTCATCTCCCACATTTAGCACATTCACTGAGCGCAGTGTGAATACAGGGTTCTTCACACAGTCAAGTAATGATATATTAGCATTAGCTTTGCTACATTACCTCCTCTGATTCATCCTAAATCACTGCCACACGTGAAGCTGCACAAAAGCAATTCTTACTTTCTTTTGTACAAGTTTAACTTCCTCAAAAGCAAGCTGCTTGAAGAGCTGTCGGTTTAAAATGGAGCTAAGCACAAGAGCGTAACACAGGATTTTGTTGTTCAAACCAAAATCACTCTACATTATGATTTTGGCAAGAAAGTCATCACATGTGCAAGCAGCCAGTGCACCGAAAAGCTTGAATAGGTCTGTGGTCAGAAGCCCCATCCCAAGGGAGACCTCAGCTATTTTCTTGGTTCCTCATAGGTCAATATAGGTCAACCCAATTTGATACACATGAGGTGTTATTTCCATTAAGAGGCATCAAAAACTAATGCAGAGAGGTACAGTAATTCCACCTACAAATTGTTCTATACAGCTGGAGCAGAGAAGCTTTCCAAAACACAGATTCCAAACCCAGAAACACTTAATTTTGCTAGATAGATATCACATCACTTGACAGGCAATTTATGTTTGGAGATGATAAGACATACCTGAGTAAAAATATTGTGAGTCTGGCTTAGAATCCACCTTCCATCAGCATCAGGAGCTACTAATAATTTCAAAGTCCCTATGTAAACATCAGTACAGAGGGTCCAGAAATGTGGATCATGTAAACTGTAAACTCCTTGCAACTGCTGCACCTAAAAATATGGCAAATTTCAGAAAATACATTTGAGAAAGTGTTTGTCTGTACTATGGTTTTTATAGAAAATATTATAAAAGCCAATGCACTCTTTTCCTTCTAGTTCACTGTGCAATTTATGATCTTTCAGCAAAATTCCTCGTTACTATCTCAGTCATCTTAAGCAAGGTGAAATCGTGTAACAGATTTGTGTATGTGCTGTGATTTTGTACCATGTATTTACATTCTACATATATTTTACTGAAACCATTTCTGAAAATAGAGGTGTCCAAGAGAAAAAAGTCAGTTACTGAATTTTTGAGAGGGCATTCAATTAAAATTGCAATGTTTGCAAATGTGCTAATTCTGCCATGAAACAATTTGTGAGATTCTAACTTCAGTGGAAAGATATTCATATATAATTTATATTCATTCATACTTTAACATTTCTGTAAATATTCAGTGAGGGCTTAGGTTGGTCCTGCCAACCCCCTTCTTTTTCCTCTGTCCAGTTTTAGCAAACCCTCCAAGTGACCAATTTCAATCTGTAACTTCCCCAGGGAAGGCAGCATTCCTACAAGTGCTTTGTATTAACTTTGCAAAGACAATTCAGTGTTCAGGTCATGACACAGTAATAGATTAGTTCAACAGGAGAACAGGTCAAACCCAGAGTAACCTCTGTATACTCAAATACACTTCCAATGTTACTCCATCTCACATTACTAAGAACTAGATTTGAGGGAGACAAAAACTGAACAAAACAGAAAACCATTCTACACTTTGTACAAGCACAGAATACTTTGGGAGGAAAAGCTTCGGGATCTATTTTTCTCAACTAACACACCACATTTTTAAAGCACAAACTGAGGTGAAGCTACACACAATTTAGGACTTCAGGAAAACATTCATTATAATTGGTACTTCCACTTGTATATTCTAAGGAACCTTTACAGGCATTACTGAAAAAAACATCATTAAATATCCTCATACACACAGCTGAGGCTCAATCAGCCAGCAGCTTGATGAGCAAAGATGGCTTAAGAGCTCACCCTCTGGTAGCACTGGGGCAGGGCATTTTCCAAGGAAGGAGGAGTTCGCTGCATCAAAATCCCAATGGATTCTTTTAAAAGTGGAACAATACTAGAAAGAAAAAAGGAAATTAGGTATTATTTATTACATTTTCAAAAGATGCAACCTAAGATTCCTTAACACACTTGAGACATTCTTCTTTAGTTGTTTCACTAAAAGCTGAGAATGTTGCCATGAAAACCTAATGCAGAAAACAGAAGGATTTACAAAATTGGTGTGGTGTCTCACCAAAGGTAAGATTACTTCTCCCCCAGGTTTTCCACAGAACTACCCAGTGGCTGATCACAAAAGATTAATAGTTTAATCACGGGATCTGAGATGAAAGCTCTTAGTATTTTAGAAGTTACACAACAAAGCAGGTGATCAGTAGAGCTCAAAACCTACTTCAGTGGCAAATCATTGACAAGTACTCAGAACAATATCCAACTGCAATGGGTTTTGCTTTTGTGTTTGGGTTTTGCTTAAGGCATATTTTTCTTATGACCTAAGATAATAATAGGGCAATCATAAAATGAAATCAGTGTGGAGCAATCCAGCTATAACAAAGTTATTTTGTCAGAAACAGACAACTTTGCATATTCTTGAAGTGAACTATGGGTAGGGTCTCATCCAAGCTCAGGGGTTAAACATTTGGAAGCAATTAGAGGTTCCCTCCTGGCCAAATGGTCTTATTTAATCAGCTAACTAAGAAGACATTTAATACCTTTTTTTATTGTTATTACTTTTTTTTTTTTTAATAAAATCAGGAGACCAGTAAGCCCATACCCTGAAGCTACCACTAAAAAGTTATACTCTTATTAAATATTCAGCATGGTGACTTTTTTGTTTAGGTGTAGTGCACCATGCCTGGTCCAGTAGAGCATCCCAACACTTTCAAAAGGATGACAAATATCTATAACCCAACACTAAAGCTTAAATAGCAACCTAATTTCAAGAGCATACAACTCACTGAACACTCTGGATCAAAAGTGACTATATATTGCAGAAATGGTAAGCTGAATTTCAGAGTTCAGCACTGGCATCACAGCTGCACTACACAGAGTGATGGGATTGAAAGCACACCCAAAACATTTGTAAGAGATTAACCAAGCTGGTTGTTAAAGAAAACCACAGAAAGTTTGTTTAAAATCTCATGAAGTGATGTGGAACACACTGCCCAGACCAGCTGCGTATTTGCAGATGGTGGACAACGTGACCTAACCAGTTTTTAACATGGTTCCATGGAAGCAGTGCTGGCTGACTGACTGCTCAGCTCACCCCTTGACTAAACCTTAGCCAGGGGCAGGAGGGACTTAGAGGGTGTGTGACTCCTGTCTAATGAACCTCCTGGAGAAACCACCACCCTAAAATTAAGTCTTCTTGCAGGGACAGTGGTGGTTCCAGCCAAAGTCACTGCTGGGTGCACTCTATCACATGGCCTCACACAGTTGTGCTGCTACCAAAGCAGCAGTTCAGAAATAGGAAGAAGCAATTAGGGACAGGCAGGAGTTGCCTGAACTGGACCTGTCACCAAGACAAACGTTTAGCAGTGCAATAACTGTCAATCTGTCTAAAGGAAGCCTAATTGGAGTGTCACATTCTAGAGTGGATGACAGAAGCTTAGGGAAAAAGAGGTTCTCTTATTAATGGACCCATCTCACTAAATAATGTCCATGTCACAAGCATTACATCAAGAGAAGCTGGAGCTGCCAAAACACTCCACTGATGAATTGATTTCAGTTTAACTCACTATTTAAAATGCAGGTTTCCTTCTTAATAAAAACCTTGAAAGACCAATACACAAGTTCAGGATGCAAACTGAATACAAGAATTTTGAACACCGACTCCATCCCCATAAATTTAACAAGGCCCCTCTAACATATGCATCCAAAGGCTTCAAAAACCACACACGTACAGGCTGCATACTTTTTCCCAGGGAAACAACTACAGGAATGGAGAATGTGATAGCCTGCCTTTTAATTGAAACATACCACTATGAGTGAAAAACGCTAGGACAAAAATCTAACAAAAAATGTCTAATTTGCACAACTTATTTACATTATTTGATAAAATTGGTGTACATTATCTGATGGAAGGGAAATTAACTGCCAGTAGATTTGGAGAAACAGTCTATGAAAGAAAAACATCTTAAGAGTCCAAAGAACAGAGGTAAATCAGGATGTGGCTTGATACCGTTGGTGAAGTTGAAGCATATCCTGGGTCACACCTTCCTCCTCTGTCTTAGTGTTCAGATACAAATGTCATCTTTTGAAAAGCTGAAAAGGCTTTTTGAAAAGCTGTAGTGATGTGACAGGCCCTCACAAATGCTGTTAAGAGCACAGAAGGCCATGGATACCCCTCTGCATCCAACGGGATACTATCTCACAAGATAGTCTTACTGTAAGCCAAACTAACACCACAAACAACAGAATCCAGTTTGATGATGTCTGATGTTTTCCATTGTTTCATGCATGCTACTTAAGTACAAAACCTTTAATTTAAAAACCAAAACTCCACACACTATGCTCTTTTCTCAAACATTAACTAAACACAGTAATCCTTAATCACAAGGAGGCACTAGAAATATCAGTTCCATCTCATGTGACTGAAGAAAACATTAGGAAAGATGACAAAACCAAGCAGGCTGAAAATGTGGTTAGAGAATTTGATGAAGTTTCCCTCTTTTTTTTTTTTTTTTGATTAGTCATTAGTGAAAAAAACACATGCCTGTCTCTGCAGCAACTATTGCAATGGTACTTCCCCTCTTTTTTGTTTTAAATGATAAGATCATTGAGGAAAATAAATAATGCTGATGGCTCATCAAGTGGAAAGCTTTCTCATGCATAAGCAGTCCTGAAGCTTTGCTGCTAAAGCAGACTCAGTTTTCCAGTGGTCTCTTGATTACCAAGCCCTATGTCTAAAACACCACACTCTTTTACCAGGCAATGGGATTTGAAAGAGGTGCGAACCTACAGCAAGACTTGGGATAAAAACATCTCCTCTGAAAAAGCTAGAACTGCAAAAGCAGCTGATGTTACAGCACATCACAGTTGCACTTGACAATGTTACAGAAGAAGTGAAAGGTGTTCAAACACATAAAAGCTATTTATATGAATCTGATACATCCACCCTGCCACTGACATAAGGCTTGATTAAAAATGAAGAGTGAAAACATCAAACTCTTAATTAACCTGCATCACGTTCAGATAATATTCGTCCTCATTCCAGTCCCATCCTGTTTATGCCACTGTTGTAGGCACAGCTAGCAGGACCCTGGCATTGTTATAGTCTCAGACTGCAGGGTAAAGAACCCTTTTCACAGTCATTGCACTCAGAGCACAGCAGGAAATTCATTCAGTGCTCTCAGCACTACAGGAAAGAGAGGATATTTGTGATAGACTTTGTGGAAGGTAAACAAACATTGCTAAGGATCAAGACCAGCTATGGTTCTTCAAATGCCGTAGCTCAAAATCTACAGCCACATTTCCACACTCTTTTCTTTTCTCCCCCTACCACCATCCATATCCACAGTGCCAACACTGTCGGCCTATTTGAGAACTTTAATAAAATTTCTCTACTAGGCAATGGCAACTTTAATCAGACTGCCAGCTTTGCTCAAGGCAAGGATCGCAGGTTTAAAATTTACTTTACTGATTCTGAATTGCTTGTTCTCATAACAACACAGTACCATGACTCTCAAGCAAGGTTGGCAGGTACCATTACCCTGTAAATAAAAGCAGGGCACGACATTTAGCAGTAATGGCTTAAAACACCACCATTGACAAACATGATAGTTTCGGAGGAGCTTTGCTATAAAACATTGCTTCTGAACCTTAGTGAATGCAGCACTTCATTTAAAAAAGTAATTTTTTTATATTGTTATGCCTCAAACATTAAAGGCATATATCCCAAACAGTACTGGCACACCCTCCCCCAAGGCTCTTTCATATTATATCATGTTCAAGAAGCTTTAGATTTTATGCAAAAAATTTATGTAACCCATGGAAACAACTTCACTAAATGTAAATTGCCCCGTTTCTTTGACCACTTAATGTGTAGTCTGCATAGCCCATGCAATCTAGTATGAGATTTAGTCTACTGTGCCTTTCTAGAAACATGTGGGTCTAATAGTGGTTTCAGACAAACTCAATTTATACCAGAGTTGTGGCTTTTGTGTGCTGACTAATTTCACATAGCTGACTGAAACACTAAAATTGCTTCAACGTTTCTGAATAAGGCTTAGAATACTAAGGCTAAAAACTAAATGAATATTTAGTTTTAAATATTAAAAGCAGTTTAGAGACTTGAGAAATTGTATATTGATTCAGGCACATACGAGGACACCACCTTGGAAAAAACAAGAGTGTCAACCTGAACAAGTATGAAATGGCCAAGCTTTTGTTAAAATAAGAAACCTTAAAAATGCTAGTAAGACACACTTGTCTATTTTAAGCATGTCCTATTTATAATTAAATGGACACTTGCATGAGATAGTACCAAAAGTAATCAAAGAAAGTTCATTAGATATTAGCAGTTGCATCCAGGCAAACTCAAATCCCACAGCAGATTTTCACTGTGCAGTCAGAATGTTCTGTGCTAACTCAGGAGGTGTTAGGCAGAGAATATGTTACCCTGGAGCAGCCTGAGCAAAGGATCACAGGAGCAACACAGAGAAACCGTGTCAGCAGCTGACAATTTGCACTAATTAGAGATGTTGTCTACAGCAAGGCTCAAGCATTTCATTTAAAAGCACTGCTTGACTTCTCTGAGGAAGCGTTGCTCAACCCTTCTGCCTCTGCACGACACAAAGCAGGTTACAAAGCAGAGTCTGTACAGCTTTATACTGCAACAGTCAGCTTTATGGTCATCTTATACAGGGATTTTTATGATTTCTCTTGGCAAGTGTGGCCATCATTTTAGAAACCTCAACAGAGAAGATCCACTAACAGAAGCAGGTGAGACTCAAGTAAATCTGAGAGAACTGCCCCAGCACTGAAGCAAAGCAAACACTCAATAAAAAAATGAATGAACAATTATCTTCACATAGACACTAGCAACCCTGGATCAAGAGCAATGATTCATTCCCCTCTGCACTCTCATGCAACTGATTTCATATTCTACTAGCTTATCAGAAAGTTCTACAAAAGGGAATAAGGATTTGTGTTCTGGCTTTATTCCTTCTTTGGATACATAAGTATCATAGAAAGAATACAGATTAAAAGAAAAAAACACCACAAACTCCAAAAAAACTAACAACAACAACAGCAAAAAAAACCCCAAGTTAAAAAGAGCCCAGGATCAAACCTACCCCTACTCATGCCCTGCAGATTCGAGGTCAAGATCAGACCATTAAGCAATAACTTGGGAGGATACAGTTCCAACTAGGGTGAAATACCCAAACATCATTAGAACTTTTGGACTTTATCAGACTGGCTTTTGCATCTCTGACTCAAAACCATGCTTGCTTTATTACAGTCACAAAGATCCTGATTACGGAACAGATCCTGATTTTCAAACACACATGCATGGGGTCCACTTGTTGTGGCGCACACACACACTCTAACCCCACTTTACCTTATCAAAATTGGTTTAACTAGTAGAAGGGACACACAAAAAATGGACAAATAATCCTTTGAAACAGCAGACAATTATTTAATCTATGAACACTAATCTTAGTGTACGGAAACCTGTGTTTTACTCAGCTACTACCTTTACCTCAGCAACAGTTTCTTCCCTCTTGTTAACCTGAACATTTTCTTTCCCATATTTTGAGATTTCAGTAATAGAAGTGGCTTGTAATAATTTGTCCTTTATGAAATTACAAGATGTTTAAGTCAAAACATTAAGAGTTTGTACTGAAATGATAACAGTGTTCTCTAGCAGAGAGCTTTCTGTGGGCGTTGTGTCTGAAGCACACTGCCCTACTTCAATAGATAGGGAGATTCACATCAATAATCCTGTGAATGCTGCCATGCATATGCTGTAAACATGCCATACATGGTATAAGCATCAGTAGCTGCAGTTCAGATGACATTCACCACTGCTGAAGAGACAAAGGTGTTCAGTTATTAGGTTGTAGCTGAGTTGTGGCACGCTGCCCTGTGCCACCAGTGAAACTGCTGCCAGAAAACCCCAATAACAGCGTCACTGAATGAAATATTTCCTTGTCCAGTCTAATCCAAATAGCTTCACATTTACAGTGATCTCAGTAAACAACAACTGGAAAAGTCTAGAGCTACTTGAAGCATTTCCATCAGATCTTAAAAGGAATAAGGATGTCTCAGAGTACAAATACAAAGGAAAAGACAGTTCTCGCCAGGGAAAGAAAAAAAAATTAAAACCACCAGCCTTGTCAAGGACAAGGGCACATCCTGTGCCAGGAGACTCAACTCTGCTGCCCTGAAGCCATTCTGCTCCATTTACTGGAGTACATTGGTTTATATAAGCATGTACTAAATACAGAGAGGAAGCTTTCTACAGCTTGAACCTGAAAGACGTTTTTGTAGTATTATGCAAACAGGCAAAATATGCAGATCTAAGAGCAAAAGCTGTACCTGTAGAAAAGAGAGAGAAAATAGCTCATACAAGAGCTCATCAGAACAGCTGTACAGAACAGAGGTAACATACCCCTCTCAGAAGAAAAGCAAACATTGTAAGTCATTAGCAGAACAGACAAACCTTTTCTTCTGAGCTGTAATTTCTGCTGTAAATAGCATCAGAAATACTACCAAACATCAGAGATAGCAACGCTTACCTTACACCTATAAGTAGTGCTATCAGCATGGAACAAATAGGATCTGCTATCATTAGACCGTAGTTCTGCATCAATATAGCAGATATGATCACACCAATACTTCCGAGCGTGTCTGCCACAATGTGCAGAAATACACCTGGAAAAGATCAGTTGACATCATTACAACTTGGCATTCTCAAAGGTAATGGAGTATTTCCATGACATTTTACAGAGAAGAGTTGCAAGAACTAGATAACATGATTTATACTTGTTTAATTTGTGGTCAATTTTGGGTCAAGCACACAGAAGGTGATCACAAGATTTTAACATATTTGTAGAATACAGACCATTTGAAGAATTTACATTCTTTTCTTCAGTTAGCAGAAAGGGGTATTTCACTTAAACAGTGATTAACAGATGCAGCTAGATTTTTTTCATACAATACCCACCCACGTTATAGCAAAGAAACTCACATTCCCTGATGCCTCCAGACAGTGCTAAGATGGACAGACTATTAACAGAAACAGCTCTGCAAAGCTTTGAAATATGCTATTGTTTCATTGACGACATCTTCCAGAAGTTATTTGGCAAAGAAATCCAAGACAAATAGTTTTGAGAATTAAACAATACTGCAGACATGAAAAACTTCACTCTTATTTTGAAGAACAACACTGCCTTAAAATACAAAGAAAGATGTACTTTGCAGCTAAGCCAAAATTTAGCCTTTGGAGCTCTCTGCTGGCCACGACGGGAAGTCATTCGGAAACTTTCTGAGAACAAGTCTCCAGACAGATAATCCCTCTTGTAAAAACAACACCCAACTACAAATCAGCTCTTAAGTGATTTTTCCAAGTCTGCATTTGTAGTGGGCCTGGCTGGGACAGAGCCAGGTTTTCTCCACAGCAGCCTGCACGATGCTGTGGTTTAGACAGCATCAAGGCCTTCTGTTTCTCACGGCCCCCACAGCAAGGAGGCTGATGGGAGCAAGATGCTGGGAGGGCACAGAGCCAGGACAGCTGACCCAAACAGACCAGGGGATACTCCATACCATCTCACACCATGCTCAGCAATAAAACTGGGGTGCTATCTTTTCAAAATAGCTGCTCAGAGACTTCCCTGGACATTGATCTGCTGGTGAGAGGTGACTGTCTTTGTGAATGATTGTCTGGTAAGTGATTGTCTTTGCATCACATGGTGGGGTTTTCTTCCCTCAGTATTGAAATATTAAAATAAAATTGAGTGGGTTTAATATGCTTCAATTAAAATGAGGTTTTCACGAAAAGACTGACTTTCAAATACCCTCTACTCAAGTATTGAGTATACATATGCATAATATGGGGTACTGTAAATTCTGGAAGAGGTTGTAAATGTTCCTTTTCAAACAAGACTGAAAATCATCCAATAAGAGAGAACACTATGTACATTTGAGTATGCCAAATAATTACTACCTCCTACCTCTCATAATTGTCTCCCTCTACCTTTTAAAAACAAAACCAAAACCAACAAACAGCCAAGCAAAGCTCAAAACCAATACCTAAACTATCCATAACTAATGCTCAAGAGATCATGGATTCCAACACTTCTTCAACAAATTTAGAGCAAATTACCATCTTCTCGAAAACAACTGTAAGAGCTTGAAGAAAGGCAAGTTTTAAACTCAGATACTCTTTTAACAATTATATCTGCATTTTTCAAATACATTTATCTTAATCATACTGTTTTTCATTTTCCAGAACATACATTGCAATTGGGCTCCTTAGGTTCCTGCTTTTAACCACTCTTTCCTAGTTTTTCATTATTTGATTTTTCAGCGTCAGTAAGAGAAACTGAATCCCAGATTTTGGGATCTCTCTTTTAAAATGTGTTGACACTGCACTACATTTAGACTTCAGTGAATGACACATGCACAGGGTACAGCACTGCTCTGTTTACAGGGGGAATGGGATTTCATAGAACAGCTCCTCTAAGCCAAATGTGGCATTTATCCAGAGGAGCCCTCTAAAACAGATGAGTGACAGGCAGACCATGATAAAACCAATAAACCATTATACTTAGTACCATCATACCTTGTAAAATCTGTTTGCTGGATCCAGTCACTGCTTCAAGTGAATGGTCATCTGTGAAGACAATTATTGACACATTAACCTAGACAAAGGCTCTCTCTAGTGGTACATTCTGTTACAGTCTTCCTTTTGGACATTTCTAATTGCCCAACAAGGATAAGACCTGGAGAAGGTAGAACTAAGCAAAGAACATCCAAGCAGATTAATGCCTCTGTGGAACATACCAGAAAGATATGTTGAGAAAAACTTGTTAAAGGATAGCAAATGACTTCTAGTGAAGATACACAATATATTACACAAAAGTTGATTTGAATATCAAATTGCACAACACAGACAGCTACATTCACTGTTCCACTGGCTGGGGAGTGTGGGGAAGGCAAGGAAGAAGCAGAAGCAGGGAGCTCCTACTCTCCAACCAAATACCAGGAGAACTCCTGGAAAACAAGCACCACTTTTCTGCTAAGAATAGCAAGGAAGAGAAAAGTAAGTATTTTTACACTCTCTGTCACCTCCTGTCTGCAACTTGCCATGCTATTCCCTGCTCTGAATGTGCACATTTTCAGTCACATCAGATCCTAGCTTAGGGCTAAGGCAGGAAGGACTGACAACCCTGCAACACCACAAGGCTTTCACCTGCATTGTTTCAATAGGTTGCCTCTTCTCCCACAGTGAAGGTTACTGATCATATTTTCGTGAACCTCTCTTCCCACATTGTTTGCCTTTACAGAAAAGATTTAAACATACCTAAGATAACAAGCACCTTTTTCATAACCACCTTTTTGAAACAGATTACAACTACACAAGATGTGGAAAATCTTCTTTGAAATCACAAACCAACTACAACTAACAATCCATAAGTACCCAAAGTTTGTTCATATTTTCTAATACCTTGAGCTGTAAGATTATTCAAATGGAGAACATTAGCAAAGCAGCTTAACTTTGCCTATTGATTTAAATGAAAAAATTGAAGCCGAGTACTTAAAAATTTCATTATATTGCCACTGCATACAGCTGTTCTATCTTTTGCCAACACATAACATTAAGGTGAACATTCAAAAACCACAGGTAAATCACAGCCTTTAAAAACTAACACCGAACTTACTGCAAGTGACACACAAAACGCACCACGACACATGGAGTGGCACAGCATACTGGACATGTCATGAAACTACTTCCATGTATGATCGCAACAAGCTGCCAACACCCTCTCTTTTTTTTTCCCACTAAGTCATTGTAGCACATTTAGACCAAGTCAAGATGGTCTAGGACATTACCTAAGTACTTACCATGGCAATAATCCTGACCATGAGAGTGTCCATGGCCGTGACCATGACTGTGTCCGTGGGAATGTTTCTGTTCGTGGCTGTGCCCGTGACCTCCGTGGCTGTGCCCGTGGCCGAGACCACCATTGAACAGAGAATGACTGTGCTCATGCCCTGTAACAAATACCACCGTCAGAGTATGAACTTAATAATGAATTAAACTACACTTACATTTGGTTCTAAGCCACTCAAAACCTATTTGCCTTTTAGGTCATCTTAAGGTAAGTTTTAAATAAGTTAAGAAACTAAACAAAACAGTTTGTCATCTACAGCTCTGCTGTGCAGCTATATAAAATATATATATATATACACACACACAATAAAATATATACCTCATTTGAGAAGTCAAGTGCTTTAATGCATTCCCACTTCTGAGAAGTTGTGCTACACTTTTAATACAATTTGAAAAATGTTCACCTAATTAGATGTAATCACATTAAAAGTAGCTGTTTTAAGAAACCAGAAATTAGCTATCATTCACACATTCAAAATTCAAGCTTTAGATTGCTGCTCAAAGACAAAAGACTGTTCTCTTCCACTGGACTATGTAAGTTCATATGTTAAGCTGAATGAGACACCAATAGGCTTTGCAGAAAAAACCCCAAAGTGTTCACCACATGTATTTAGGCAAATAAATTCTGCATTTCAATTCGAAGACACTTGAGTTGAGAAGCACCTGAAGCTGAATCATCCCATACTTAAAATTTGTTTCAGACAAGGTTTTCCTAATTTTTTGGCAACAACCTTGCTTAAGTCCAGCTTAATTTTTAACAAAAGATACTCTGCAAATCTCTTTCAAGAAGGTGCAGATGAGTGCCTGTTCAGAACAGTGCCTGTTCCAGAAAGCATACTGTAGAGTTCCAGGTGCTCCAGTTAATGGATATTAACATGAGAAGTAAAACAGTGACTAAGGCTAGTGATAAAACACCTAAGTCAGAAGTCACATATACATTTGGCTAGGATTGCTACTAAAAAGACATTAAAATTTAATACTGGGGTTCTCATGGAGGATTATAAGGTCCTGGAACACAGGGTGCCAAGAAAGGAAACGGTACTGGAAAGGTGCAGACATCCTACCAGCTCCATGTGAATGCCCGTGACCTCCGTGCTGAAAAACAAATATTCCTATAAGATTTACAATGAATCCTAGTATAGAAACAGGAAGAAGTCTCTCATGATGCACATCAGGAGGCTCAAGTGCTCTCTAAACAACAAAAAAAAACAAAAACAAAACACAAATGTAGAGTTTTACAATTTCTTTATATTATTAAAAGGTGCTGAAAAAACTACTTAGATACAGGAGCATTCTCATACAAACACATATACAGACATACCTAGAAATTACTCAGGACTACCAGTTTCTGGGATGATAGACTAATTCTTATTGTCTGAAGCTGAAATTTTATTATTTAAACTCTGAAACTACAGTAGAATATTCTGATAGTGTAGCTAAGTGTTACAAGATTTCATTTTGCTGTGGGATGTGGCTCAACACCACATGAAACCATTCAAGTTTGTTCTAGTATGTGGATTGCCCAAGTCACCTAAACAACTTCCAGCAGTCTAGAACACTATTTCTTCCTTTCTCCAGAGAAGGGTGAGGCAATGAGGGAAACGAAATGAAGACTGAGAACAAATTGTGACATTTTTTAGAACTTCCAAAATCTAGATTGATTTTTGGTTTTTAAATTCTTTTTTACCCTACTTTATTTGGGATTTTTTTCTCAGTGGGACATTACAGGCCTAATACATTTTGCATCTGAAGTTAAGTGTTGACAAGCGTAAATTACTGTTGACAGAGGAGAAAAACATTCACCATCTCTCCACAGGAACGAAAGGTACAGGCAGTAGCAAGACAATGAAACTTCCAGCAGAGGTAAAATTTTAAAGCAGCAATGAGAAAAGAAGTCACCATCACAAGGAAAGGGAATATTTCCCATAGGGGCTAAGACCAGTAGGAAGATAATTACGTTTCACCAATACTCCAACCAATCAGCTTTTAATTTTTCTAGTAAGTTTTGTTCCTGTTTCTAGATCTGAAGTTGTCCAAGCTTACAGGCAATTTCAGCCCAGCTTGTACTGATTCTAAAGTATTTATAGGCTTATCAGTGCAGAAGACCTGTTCCTAAAAGCTCTTTCCAGTTCTCTATTAAAAAAAGAAAAATTCACTAGAACATCTTATGAAGTAGAAGTCTAAACAAATTTACAGTCTATCTCCCACATTAAAAGTAAAAGCATCAATGCAAGCTGATCTGAAATAGTTATCAATTTTACTCTTAATCCTTTATGTTGCCCTTAATATCTAAATTTCAATCTTGAAATTATCACCTGAACCATCATATAAAAAAAAATTCAAGAAAAGAGCCCTTGTAAATCTCTAAGCTATTAGTACTTGCCATTTATATCAGACTTCAAGATTTGGAGGAAAGTGCTCTTTCTTTAACAAGTTAGTGCCACTTCTTTACAGAATGTGACTTATGACTAACTTTTCTACTCTGAGTGGTTACTTTCGACCTTTCCTTCTTGGCCTCATTTGTCCTTTAACAATGAGAAGTGAACATCTTGCTATGACATACTTAACTGGCTCAAAAAAAGGACAGGCTGCATCTCCCAGAATCTTTACACATAAACAAAATACACCATTTAAGAAGCTAGTACAGATACACTGAAAAAGCTGGGTTTCTGTGTCACAAAACAGCAGTATCAGATGGCCCTATTCTCTGTTCAAATCACAGATTTTTAATCAATTATGAACTTAATTTATTTAATTCAATAATTTCACCCCTATTAATCATAGAAATGTGACAATTGACAGTGTAATTTACTTCATAACATACCTCAACGCCTTCAGAAAAAATGAAGAATGCTGTAAAGATGAGGAATAAACCATTCACAAAACCAGCAAGTACTTCTGCTCGAACATACCTGCAAGAAACAGAAAAAGCAATAGCAGATATTACCACATTCATTTAAATGCTGAAATTTAGAGGTGGAACTCAAGAGACTGGAGTGCAATCTTCCAGTTCTCAAACAGTTGTGTTACAGAGGAATTTGCTAAATGGAAGATGCAGCATATAAACTAAGAGTATGAAATGGATTAAATTGTATTTCGACAGACACTACCTGATCCACATCAGCTATCACCTGCTCTACATGAAAGAAATCTTTCAATATGTCAAAATCTTTCCATTTAAGATCATCTCTAGTGGAAATTACGGTATAAAGATATATTTGGGGAAGCCACAAACTAAGATAAGCATACGAGATGTAATCAAAGTCTTCTTTGATTTGCTTCCCATCTAGAAGGGGGATTACTAGTAAAAATTTTAAGAAGAAATTATTTCAAACATCAAATTTTGCCAATAAAAACCTGCCAGGTTAGAACAACATGTAATTTCCACGTAGCAAACACAAAACTTAATAAATTATGTCCGTTCTCTAATAAATAGAACACCAGCTCTTTAAAGGAAGAGCAGTAATTAATACACAACCTGTTTTCATTGCAATTGAGTTCATAGTACAATTCTTCCTAAATTGATTTTTGGGCACACTGGAGTTTCCACCTTAATGAAACTGTGCTTTAAGTTTCAGACTACATGATTCACACTTAAGCAAGACAGCTGAAGCTAAACGATGTCACTCAGGTCAGGGATGTCATCGGGAGTGCAGCAGCCCATGTTACACCTCATTTGCTGTTAATCAGTATTACAACCAGTAATATTGTACCGCCAGTATTGTTTTATAGGGCACAACTGCAATGTTCAGTGAAACCAAGTGACCCTCAACCAGAGCCAGCTGCAGCAGGTATATCCTCCAAGGGCGCGATGGGATGACACCTCAGCCTTGAGGATCCGGATTAACAGCAGCCACAAATGGCAGATGCCAAATCCTACTGATTCCAAGAATCACAGCTTATAATCTCAGATGCAGCATCTCTGCCATTTAACTCCTTTCAGCTGTAACTTTCTGTTCCAAAGAAGGCAAGGGACACCAGAAGCCAAAGCCCCTGTAACGCTCCTCACTGCACTGTGAGGACAAACCCAGGATGCTGCTCTCTCTCTCTTCACTGGTGCCATTAATATTTTTACTATTTCTAGGGGGATATTAACCTAGAGATTTACATAACTCACCTTAAAAACCCTCACACTTTCAACATAGCTTTTCCATGTTCTGCAAAAAGAGGTTTTGTTTATAGAGGGAAAAATGACTGCCTAAACATTTGCTACAGTACATTAAGGTAACAGCCTGAAGTTTCTTACCCATATGAGAAAGCATCGTTTGACCTCCATTTTGAAATAACTGAAGCTGCTAATCCAGCCAACAGAGCAGTACAGTCAAAAAACATATGAAAAGAATCTGATATTAGACCTAAACTGAAAGAGAACAAGAAAAAATGTTATGTTCCACATGTTGAACGTGAAAAAAAAATCCACAGCAAATAATCTTTTACACACTAGCAGAATACACTGTGTTTCTGAGCTTCGGACGTGATTTTGCTAGCACAGAGGAGAAATCCGCAGTTCATCATCAACATAAATATAATGCTCAAACTGATTTTGTCAGCACTTTGAAAGGCACTTTGGAAGAGTGCTTGGCAAAAAAAATCCTCCTAGCGTATGATTTTGGTGCTGGTGAAAGGTGGTTTCCCCTGACACACTCAACTGTGGAAGAAGTGGATTTGGAAGAGAGGAGAGAGAACAAGTATCTTGATCTATATATTTACATTTACTTTATGGACACATACAGAGTTCTCTGTATACACACAACTGTAACATTTAAGGCAGAAAGATGATGGCATGGTGAATTGTCCTCAGGTGCTGCAGCCACCAAAGCAGGAAACAGACGAAGTTGTTCTGAACAAACTTTAAAAGACCAGCAAATGTTTTAGCTGGATGCCTATGAAGTAGCAAAATGGAATTTGCTACTGAATTCTTGCAGTGTGTTGGTGACAGCTTCCCCCTGTCCCAAACCAGGTGGCATCTCTAGGGAAACTCATCGCTTTAGATTTGGTTCTTGATAGGGAAGATTCAGCGGGGGAAAAAAAACCCACAAAACACACCAAACATTTGGGAAGAAAGTAAATAGGGTGACAGTAACTCTAAGTTGTAATGATTATGAAATGGGGGGAATAAGCATAGCTAAACAGAGATAGCTAATGGTTTCTGTTTTTGGTGTTTTGGTTTTTTTTTTCAATAGAGTCTCCTAGGGAAGAGAAGTATATAAAGGCTGTTACTGAAACAAAATCCCACACTAGCTCCAGAACCAGAAATCACACAGCAAGTTACCATGGCACTGTGCTCACACCTGCAAACCTCAGCAAGGCAAGACTTAGGGTAGGTGCAACAACAATACAGCTGTGCTGCTGTTCCAAGACCTAAGCTCACAACTCCAGGTGGCCAGAGGCATGTGGATTTATCAACAGGGAACAGCATAGCCTGTGTCTGCAGTGCAATTCACCACATGGCATAACCATGCCCTGGATCATGGGTACAGCTATAAGTGATTTAGCTGCACAAGTGGCAGGAAGCCTGATAAGAGGCCAATCTCATTTCATCTGAGGCTTTTTTTAAGTGACCTATAAATTAACAAGACTTTTTAAAAAACTGTGTGCAAAGTGATTATTAAAGTAAACAAGCAATTCATGTATGGAAGAACTTTGTTTAGAAATGGAACACACCATCCAGAGTATAAACTAGTGTCTAAGGGAGGACACTTCCACAGCTCATTTAATAAAACAAGTTTAATACCAAATTACACAAGTGTACATGTAATAGCATTTTAAAACAGAACAGCCCAAGTAGCAGATTTCAACTTTAAACAAGCGCTCAGCTAACAAAATACCACATCCAGTTCTGTTTTCTGTGCTTCAAGACTGTCAGCATTCCAAAGTATTTGTAGGATGATCACATAAATGACAAACCAGCTATGTGAGTTCAGGAAGCAACCTGCCTGGCAAACAAAAGCTAATCTCTCATGTTGGGAGCAATGGAGCTGTGCTCTGCAAAATGAAGAAATAATTTTCCCTGCATAGCTCCTTGTTTTCTTGTTCTTCCATGGCATGAACTGTCTGTTTTGACTGAAGGCATTCCTCATCATTTTCTCTGCTACCCCTCTCCACTAAAGAGGTGCTTGCTAAGACATTGTTTTGTTCTAGCCCAAAATCTAGGCCTAGAGATACCCAAAATTAGTGACTTGAAGTGTAAACAAAAGGTTCAACTAATGCAATCACAATTCTTAACCTCAGTTATGAATAAAAATAAGTGAGTCTTCTCAGTTTCAATTGTCAAATTCTATAGTGACAAAGTTCTGCCAAGTGTCACTCCTAATTACCTCATATGCAGGACTTTTTTAAGTCCCACTATGAAAAAAACTATTATGCTTAAAAGACAGAACAAACTCACATGAAGATAAACCTCTTTATACTGAAACAGACTATGCACATAATAACCCTCACAAAACTGCAAAGTGAATCAACATCAAAGCCAAAACCACATAGTCTGTGTGCCACTGAGATATTCTGTGCCCAAGATAACACCGGGTGCTCACTAGTGATACACTGTAGCTTTGATTAATTACCGTAATCAAAGTAAGGATTTTATAGTGTAGGTTGAGAGAGTCACAAAAACAGGCTGTTAGGATGCAACTGTTTCCAAGTCCGTATTGCTCCGTTTACTCAAGACTCTTAAAAAAGAAGAGTCTCAGTAATTTGTGTCCATTCTACAGCTTTTGGTGAGGACTACTTTAGGTTCCATGTGGAAGGACACTGCTGGGCTTAAATGACATTTCCATGCCAGTCCACTCTGAACTGAACTATTGACAAAGAGAGTGAAATACTACCATAAAACAACTTCTCTATCACGAGTGAAGCATGATGGATACTAGCACCACTGTCTCCCTGTATACCATACATCAGTACAGCAGTTACTTTGCATTTGTGTTTATATTTTGCTGCAGATTTTTCGGTAGCAATTTAGTCAAGTCTCTCCTGTTTTTTCCACCTTTGTGAATTTATGTGCTTTGTGAAGTACCACTTAATTATACCTGGATGTGCTAATTCCTGTTTCTTCCTCGGAAAGAGGAAGGAACCCAGGAATCAGCCTACAGACTGCACCACGCTCCCAAACAGAGGATGTCTGTGGCAAGCGGCGGCACGAAACGGTTACAACCCCCGAGTCCTGAAACTGGGGCCAAGGCCAGGCTTCCTCCTCAGCCCAGAGCCGAACGCGACAGCAGTGCCGAACAGGATTCCCCCCTGAGGCGCCGAGCCGCGCCGCCCCCGCACCGCAGGGCCCCGGCGGAGGGGCGGCCGAGCCGGTCGCTGCCCACGGGAGCGCTCCCGGCCGGGGCAGCGCTCCAGCAGCCCCAGGCTGTGCCGAGCGGCCCCTCCGCAGGCGGGCGGGAGGCCCGGCCCGGCCCCGCCGAGCGGAGACGTGGCACTGGCCGGGCGGGAGGCGCCGCTTCCTGCGCGCTGGGGCCGCGCCCGGCCCGCCCCGCGCCCCCAGCCCCGCTACCTGTTACTCCAGATGCCGTAGAGCAGCTCCACGAAGGCGAAGGAGAGGTTGAGGCAGAGGAAGGAGAAGAGGTTGCGGGAGGTCTTGTCCGCCAGGATGGACCTGCGCACGGAGCACAGCGCGGGTCACCGCGGCCGGCACAGCGGCAGGAGGCCGGGCCGGGCCGGACAGACCGCCGGGCGGCCCGGGCACCCCCGGCACCACCTTCCCCGGCCCCTCCGCGGGGGCTCGGCCGCGGCCCCCGCTGCCCCCAGCCCGCCCCGAGCCGCTCCCTCACCTGAACCAGCCCGACACCTTCCTGAGCAGGTTGAGCCTGGGCGGCTTGTACTCATCGTCCTTGACGGAGAGCGGCAGCATCTCGGCGGGGCCGGGCGCGATGGGGCCGGGCCGGCGGCGCGGGCGGGGGGCGGGGGCGCGGCCCGGCCGGCCACACGCCGCTTCCGGCCGCCAGCGCGCCTGCGCCGCGGGGCAGCGGGGCTGTGGGGGCGCGCCGGGGGCCGGGCCGGGCCGGGCCGGGCGGGGCGGAACGCGGGGCAGGGAGCGGGGCAGGGAGCGCTGCCCGCCGGGGACACTCAGCGCGCCCGGGCCGGGAGCCCCGGTCCGCCCCGCGCCGCGCCAGCCGCTCCCGCGCGTTCCGCCGGCGATGCCGGGCGCTCCCGGCGCAGCTGTGGCGGCGGCGCTCGGCGCGGGCCGGGGCTGGGGCCGCGGCGCGCCCCGCGTGTGACCGGCGGGGCCGGGGCCCGTCCCGCAGCGCGGGGCCCGCCGGGAGGAAGCGCCGGGACGCCCCGCAGGAAGCGGCGCCGCCGCGGGGCCGCCCCTGAGTCACCGCAGGCGGCTTGTGCGGGCGGCGGGGCCGCGCCGGCACCTCCGCTCCTCCGCCCTGCCCTGCCCTGCCCTGCCCTGCCCTGCCGGTGCCGCCTCGGGAGCACCGCCCGGCCGGAGGGAGCGCAACGTGAGCGAAGCCGCGGGCGCGGGGCGGGAGGTGCCGATGCTGCGGTGCTGCTACCGGGGTGCTGCCCGCCAAGGGAGGGGAACCCGCTCGAGAAGTCTTTTTCTCGGAAAGAGGATTAAGACCCTGGGTTTTGACAGCGGGGTTTTATTTTCGTCGTTTTTATTTTGTGTTGTCTGCAGGCAGTACTGTACGGTGTCTCAAAAGAGGTCAATCCTGCATTGCAGTTTCATAATTTAGCTGGCAAAACTGATCTGCGTTTTCGCGGCACATCAGAAAGTGCCATGATGCTAATTCTAAAAAATCCAAATAGACGCTTATTTTTATTAGGGATTGTATAATAATATAATCCTTGCTTGTCACTACGTGTCGTAAACACTAGAATGTGTTATAAGCAAGGAAGCCTAGTAGACAGCAAACCATATTGTATGCTTTTAAATTTTAATTTATCATTATAGTAGTACTGGTAAGTATTGTTGCAACTAGGTTGCAAACTGATGAAAGAGGATCTAAGGTTTTCAAAAGCACGTAAGATGAGGATACAGTGGACCTCATAAATGCTGAGTAGCCACTGCTGGTAATAATTTTTAGAAGTCGTGTGTGATTGTTTAAACCTATAAAATTAGGCAACGAAAACAAATTATTAGCTTCTGGAAATAGTGACCTCTCCTCACAAAGTAGTGGTAAGATTGGAACTCGGATATCAGGAAGACCTGTATATGTGGACATATTCTGATTGTTATACACACAAATTGGCAAATCTGTATCTTTAAGAAGCAAGTTTATATAGCCCAAACAATTTCCCCTGTGAGATTTCACATCGGTTCAATTATTCAACAAGTGCAGCAAATTCTTGTTCTCTTGAGCTTTCACAGTGCCTTTCCTAAGTCAAAATTAAAGACTCTTTCTTTGTTCAGCTAGTTTTAAAGGAACAAAAATCCCTCCCACAATCTAGGAGCCTTAACAGACACAGGTTTCTTATATTGCTGTCCTGCAAAAGGAAGGATCTTGTACATCCTTCCTTTATGTGCTTACACTTAGATTTTCCAAGCTGCCAAACCAGATGGGAAGAACAAAATGCTGTGTCTTAAACCCCTGATGTAACTCATGAACTTAGTGGAAGGAGACCCTGAAGGGGATGAACCATAACATAAAATAATTTCATTGGGAGTACTTGCCTGACTGTGGTAGCCAGATATATATTTTAGTGGTTCCTGGTGGCAAAGCAACAGCCAGTGAGGTTCTGGAGAACTACTTGTATCTCTATAGTTGAACCTAAGGATGGAACACATAGACATTGCACTGGCACAAGGTGACAATTTTATAAGTAGAGAAACATGCTGTTCTTTTCTTTTTAACCATCTGGTGTAGTAACTTCTTTCTGGAGTGTTCACTGAAAGGCAGAGACAATTCAACTGAGCAGTAGGAAGAAGGATGGGATAATTGCCATGAATGCATATATCAGTCAATAATTGAGAGGAACTTTTACTTGTAAAAGAATGCTGGGTAGCATGTGGATAACTGTTTATCTTCAATTATAGAGTCCCTTTAATTTCCAACAGATTTAAAGATCGCAAACAACTGCCCTGTAAAAAGAAGGGGGGAAAAAACGATCCTACCTGGCAACAATGAGGTGAGCTGCGAGGCTTTTTAGAGTGAAATAATTTATATACCCATTTTCAAGCTTGGTATTTGCAATTTGGAAATTACTTACGAGTAAAGGAGGAGAAAAGGAAACTATGAAGTTTAACAAAGACAAGTGCTGGATTCTGCACCTGGGACAGGGCAGCCCTGGATATACACACAGACTGGGGAATCAGAGGTCCTGGGGTCCTGGTCCCTGGCAAGTTGAATGAGTCAGCAGAGCCCTGGCAGCCAGGAGGGCCAACCGTGTCCTGGGGGGCATCAGGCACAGCATCACCAGCTGAGTGAGGAAGGGATTGTCCTGCTCTGCTCTGACCTGGGGCAGCCTCACCTCCAGGTGGTCCTGTGCAGTTATACATGAATATAAGAATTAATGTAAGAATACAGTACAAGAAAGATGTAAAGCTATTAGAGAGCAGCCAAAGGAGAGCTACAAAGATGGTGAAGGGCTTTGAGGGGAAGCTGTATGAGGAGCTCTTGAGGAAGCACCTTTTCTCCCTTTTGTTTCCCAGCTAAAGTAGAGCTCCTGCAGTGCTGAAAATATTGAATCTGTACAAATTTGCTTTCTAATACTGATGAAGTATATCTGTGTTCAATCAAAACCACAGTACTGAGAAAGTAAGAAACAATGAACAATCTGAAGAATTATTCTGGCTTCATTTTCACAAAAGAATGAAATTCAAAGATAAAAAAAACCTGAAAAACAAGTAAACATGGAAACAGAGTACCAGAAGTATCTGTCTTGACAGTAATTGGCCAAAGTCCTAAAATCCTCCTTATTTATTTACTTAAACAAAAATCTGTTTAATATTGTGGGAGTTTTGCTCATTAACATGGATTTAATGACTTTCCCTTTCTTGTTACTTGTTTTGAAGGTATTTTCACTTCTGTAAGCTTCCAGGAAGAGTTATGGGAATCCGCCTACTCCGCTTCACCTCTGTGGTGATCATCGTCTTACTTCTTGTGGCAGGTGCTTTAACAGCTTTGCTTCCCAACATCAAAGATGACAAATTGCCCAATTTGAGAAGGGAACCAAAACCTCAGAGTCAGCCTGCCTTGGATTCATTTACTCTTATTATGCAGACATATAATAGAACTGACTTACTGCTAAAGCTCTTAAATCATTATCAAGCCATCCCCAACCTACATAAAGTAATTGTTGTGTGGAACAACATTGGTGAGAAGACACCAGAGGAGATGTGGAATTCCTTGGGGCCTCATCCTGTCCCTGTTGTCTTTAAAGTTCAAAGTGTAAATCGCATGAGAAACAGGCTGCAGAATTTCCCTGAGCTGGAAACAAAAGGTAATCAGCAGTTCATATCACTACTACTGATATTACTTTCATGCTTAAAATCTGAATGCTAAAAGAGAGATGGTTTGAGTTATACTATGTAAATAAATCCACGGATGTGCTGGGTCACTTAATAGAATGTGGGTAGTACAGAGGAAACCGATGTTCTGATATCAGATGCACACCACCAACAGGCTGTCAGTGAAGAGTAAGGACAAAGAAGAGGGATGTCAAAGTATTTCATGGGCTTTTGCAACTGTTCCCCATTTCCTTTGTCAGGCAGACATTGGTAGTTCAGCCTCTCTTCCTTTTGTAGCTGAAATTCATAATGCGTGTATTTGTTGCGTGTGCATTAACCTGGACTGAAGTCATCTGGTAAAGACTTGATTTAATCCATTCCTTTTAAGACTAAGTTCTCAAGCATGTTCTGCTCTTCTGAGAAACCTCCCTCCCTAGCTGTCTGGCTTTTTATCTCAAATTATACATCCCTTTCAAGAGTATTTTCCCCAGTCTTTTGGCTATTCATCTAAATATTCTTCCTAAGCTCTTTCCAGGAGGTGTACAACAATAAGTCCTGTTTGTTTCAAGTGGAAACCCCCCCCATATCTTGCATTACAGACCTGACCTTACTCTTGATTAGTAAAGGTAATTCTATTTACTGCCCCCTTCCTAACATGCCTTGCTACTCCAAACCCATGATTTCTAGGAAGACATTAGAAACTTCAACTTCCCAAGTGTTTTATTTACTGTAATAGGATTTGTGCCTACTGCAAACTTAAAAAGCTTTAATGCATCTGGAGTTCTAAGAATATCCTTCCTTTTCCACTTCCCGATAGTCTAAAATTCAAGGCAGAGAGTTTTCCTTCTGTAGTTAATCATACTGAATGTTACCTGTGCAATTTATTTAACTTGCTTACTTAGAACTTGCAAGTAGCAAGGAGATGAGTAAAATTTTACACTAAGAATCCTTTATAAGGCTCATATGCTAAAGAAAGCTATCTAACTCTATTTTAGTTGTATCTTTACACAAGATCAGTAGAATTTTAAGCTGCTTTGCCAAACACTCCCAAGTTTTCCAACACATATCTCTCCAGTGTACTACAGATGATCAAAAGTTGCTGGGTTTTGTTACAGCCTGGCAAATAATCTAAAACTTAGGTTTGCTTACAGCTACCACAAAGCTGCAACCTTGCTTTAGCTTTGAAATATAGTTATGTTTTCTCAACCTACTTTCAAGGAGTTGTAATTCAGCCTAACAGTGATAGAAATTTCACATTTAATTAGTCAAATACTGTGCTGCGTGCTGTGCTCGTGTATTTAATCTTTTGATAAATTAAAAGTTTTTCTTTTTTTTTCCCTCCCTGCAGCTGTTTTAATGATGGATGATGATACTCTAGTCAGTGCTCATGACCTTGCTTTTGCCTTTTCTGTTTGGCAGGTAATGTTTTGCATCTTGGTGGGCAGTATTTGTGACTTTAATTAAAACCATTAATCTCAATTGTGAGTAATACTGTATT